TCTGTCAATTCAACACACAGATTAATTTTTTATATGACGTGTGATATAACCATGTCATAGTTTTAATGGGAAATTTGGAAGGTTGTTCCCGTTATCTGTGATATATTCAGTGGTAGGATTCATCCGGCTTGATTTTTTGGCAACAGAGCCGGCTGAAACATATGATTTTTGTGATAGAACCGGTTAACAACCAGTCTGAAATGCCCTGTATATTTTAAAACATCAACTGTCAGCCTACAACTTGATACATGATTTCTCACCTCTCAATCGCTTCATTTCTTTCAACTCCTGCATGACCTATCATTGTTGCCCAGGTTCTTGTCGGCTTTATGAATTTAGACAAACTGACATCAGTAAACTTTCCCCTCTTTTTCACAAACATGCATTACACAAACGGTCATTATTTTCTGAATCAGATATGCTGAATACTCAAGAATCGTCATTAAATTAATTAATCATAAACCTTCCATACAAGCATGAAAATACCCTATCGTTGTTTGGGATCTTTCTAGGTCTAGGTTCCTTGAAGTTACCGCACCGTATCGATTTAACAACGTTATATGAGCTAGTGCTCAACTAAAATTGCTATCTATGGTAAGGATCTACAAGTGTTTAATAGCTTACTTGTACTTTTTAACACCGTCTTAGAAAAACTTAACTAATAATAACTGAAAAGGACGATGGAAAGGCTACCCAACTCAACGCAAGAGCGAGCAGTACAAACTGAGATTCATCCGACCGCCTACAGCTGATCAGAATTTAATTTTCACGTCATGCAGAAGTCTGCGTTCATTGGCCAATATTGCCGGAAACGCAGAGAATATAGGACAGATGGTAGCACATATTTTTTGTAGTAAAAGCGTCTTTTTCGTAAAACGTGCAACTTTTGGGAATGGGAACAAGGTATTATTTATTACTAAATTTCTAAAACATTTTAAAATTATTTCCAAGTACTTCCCTTATGTGCGCTACGAAACTGAAAGATAAACTGCCTCGTCTCGCGGCCTAATTGGCTCTGGGCGACAATCATATATGATATTCTGTTGAAGATGTAAATGCTTACTGAAGTATATTACTTTGTGCATTTGTTCATGTATTCTCGAAACTCCCTGATAATCGTTGTTTCACCTCATATTTTGTTAATTTCAATATAACTGCGCCACGACCGGTTTCAATCAACCACAAATGAATTTTCCGCTTTATCGATTCGGTCCGTTGTGATGGTTCTGCGTTCGCGTTAGTGGTCAGGCGAAGACTGTGGTTCCGGTGGTCTACTGTGAAAGATTGCATACCGTACTATTTCGTGTCCATATATTTGAGTATCGCTCTATTTTTAAATAGCAGCTTCGCAAATCCGGCCCTGAATCAGGGCCAACTGCTCGTTTGGAAAAAGATTTTGATGACAAACGGAAACCATTGGTTGAGAACTAGTGGCTAATACAAAAGAAGGAAAAGGTAGGATAGGCACAATCTTTGGAATTTTCTATTCAGACCGTGTCTGATTCTTTATTTTGGAACATTAACCCCATTATCTCTGTGGAACGTTGACCACATTTGTCAAAGTTTTTATTGAATAAATAAAGAAATAATAACCGAATATCGGTGTTTCGATTAACGATACTCACTATTCGAAGAACTGCAACGCATGTTTTTGCGATTATTCAGTTTTCCACAAATCGTTTTTTCTGGTAACTCTTTTGCCTCATAATTAGAGGCACTGAAATATATTTTAGGTGCACACATTTTCTGAAAATACCGGACCAAGCAATATTGAAATTATGTATACGAATCACTGGTAAAAATCATCACAGGATACTAATTATCATATTTCAAACCAAGTTTGCTTTTTTATGCTGAACCAGTTTGACTCTTATTTATCTCCTTAATTAATTAAAACTAGCTCTAAGTTCCAAGGTATTGTCAAAATTAAAGATTCTTTATACCATGTGCTTACGTCAATGTCCAAATGGAAATCAGACAGAGATGAAGAGAGTTGACCTTTTGCCTTCATTCCTTAGGCCTACATGTTTACAAACTTCAAAAAGCATAAAGTATAGGCTACATTTTAACGATCACAAAATTGACATGATTTACACATTAATCCCGGAGGAGTGGAAGGCAGATCTGGTATATGATGATATAAGAATTATATTACGGGTTTCCTCTATTATTTCATCATGTATTACAATGCCGAGCAGATAACAATGGATCGAATTGAACGACAGAGTTACCAACTAGGCTAGGGTCGGTAACCTACTCCCGCGGAGTAAAATAACCCGGCTTGTGATGCTTCACTGTTTTCATTTAGCGACAAAACGGCGGCAGCGAATTCTATTCACGGGAGTTACGAAACGATTTTTGCTCCCGCTTTGCTAACTTTCGATCTCTTGAACACGAATTCAGGTTGTTAAGTACTCCGTTTGATGTCGACGTGGATACGGTTGCAAAAAATATTGAAATGCAGCCTTTTGATATGCAATGAGGAAATAAAATCCAATTTTATCCGAGAGCTGTGTCACTGCTTGATTTTTATAAAAAGTATCTTCTTGGAGAAAATCTCTATCCAAATTTGACAAACCATGCAAAAAAATTTATTATAAAAAATCGATTTCGAAGTACATATGCGTGCGAACAATTATTTTCGAAAATGAACATTGCAAAGAACAAACGGAGAACTACAATTAGTTATGCCCATTTAGAAAATATTCTAATCTTGGCTTCATTCAACGTGCCGCCTGATGTCGAAAAGCTATCACGCGTAATGCAACATTAACATTAAATGTCATTGGTAAATTTGCCTAGTAAGATGACTTGACTTCACGATTCGTCGCAGTGTTCACTCGCTATTTAAAGTCCTAAATTTCAACTTCTGGTATGTGTAAAAAATATGATTCATCAGCCACCCGTTCGGTTTTTAGTCGGTCAGTAGTTTATTTTATCACAAACCGAAAGTACACACAACACACTGGACAAGCATAATTAAAAAAATAAATAAAAAAATGCATTTCAATGTGAATGGAGACGCGATAAACCAGTGATAGGTATCGAGCAGCGTCACCTAGCTATGAGGGAGTGAGTCTAACATTAAATCATACTGAGAAAGAAGTTAAACATTAAATACTAACAAAAGCCGGTCACTTTTTAACTTTTTTAAAAAATATGTGCGGCCTGCCAAGATTTGCAACCTTTAATTTTGGCCAACGAGAGACAAAAGGCCTGATTTACACAGTTCAGCATTCGTGCATTTGGTTGCCTGGCAAATACCCCATGAGATATTTGGTGGGTTTGATCGGAGACAATATTGCTATGTAACGTTTATGGTTTGATAGCCATCTCACATAACCTACGTCTAGTGCAGGGATCACCAAACTACGGTCCGCGGGCCAGATGCGGGGCCTGCAATTACACGGAAAAATAACGATTTTTTTGTCCAAGGGATGTTCTCCAGAGCATCGACTTCCTCATTCATTTCGTAACATTGGCCAATCAGCGAGATGCAAAAAATGACACAACAATAGACCCTTTCGTCACTCGGAAAAACTGTTGTGAAACAGCTGTGATAAAATAGGCCAAATTCTGGCATGGTACGCAACGTTTTCTGCGAAGAATGCATTCGTGGCGCGTGCTTTCGGCGAAACTGTTGCTGTCTACATCTGTGCATACTGCGATATAAAAGTCAATGGTCAAGACTTCAGGAAATGTAGAATTCATATTGTTGAACAAATTGTTTGGACTTCACAACTTTTGGGAATGTATTGTATTGCATTGACAAAAATATTCGTCCGGCCCGTTTCAACACAGTTTGATTCATGCCTGGCCCACCGTGAAAAAAGTTTGGTGACCTCTGGTCTAGGGGATACTGTTGGTGATTCAGCTGCCACCAACTCTCGACCATACTCCCGACTTGAATACATTAAAGAAAGCACTACCCATGATCCTAAATCAGACATGAAAACATTTCACTTTTATTTAGTGCTTCACACAATGGATATAAATCCAATAGTAACATTTATTGAACTTGACATAAATATTTACACAAAACAAATAATCAACAAAATATGATATATCATTCAAAAACGATTAGATTGTGTTAGATCGATCAAGATCACTATCTCCAGACAGAAAATTGATGCAAAATATTCACTCGAGCATTACTTTATCACACAAATAGCAAAAAGTTTTTTTTAAATATGTCGATGAATTGCGTAGTGCCAGAGGTAAACCGGACTGAAAAGAAAATGATGTAATGCAAGGGGGAGCAACCTTTAATACTGTTGGGCCAGATAACGGGGAAAATCATGGGCCGCACCTTAATTCAACATAGGCATTCTACAAGGCTTATGACATGCGTTGTTCGCTTTGCACAAGCTAGCTGTTAAGGCATTGTAACATCAAAGGCATAGATAATAAATTAGTGTAAAGTGATTGGAATAACTTGCATGTACCAGATAAAACTCGCTGACCACATACCATTCAAACTTGGCACTTCCCAGAGGGACACATAATTTTTCTTTGTAGGCCGCATTTGGCCCATGACCGCAGGTTGCACACCCCTGGTGTAACATGTTAAACCGAAGATCAACCTAATAAACTTGACAAAATTTGTTGTTAAGCTGGGTTTTTTCATCAAACAAAGAGACAACATGTGCTACATTATTTCATACAAATGAAATCAGGTTCACAATTCGCATAGCATTCTCTGTCTGGCAAGATTAGAAATTGCACATGTGATTTACAAGTACTGATGAAAAATATTTCTGACAATCCAAGAAAAATATGTGACAGTTTTAATTATTATTTTATAGCAGGTGAAAAAGCTTGAAAACGGTGCACAAATCAGGATCACAACAAAGTTGTTTGTTGTTACACCTAATTCTAGTGAGAGTGGAGCACAAAACATGCAATATTCCATAACCCAATATGCTTCCCAATATTTTGTAGTACAAGCATGATGTATGTGAATAATATGATTTCCTGTCACAAAGAGAAGCCCAAATATTAAGTGATGAGTTGAACTTATTAATATGATGGAAAAGCTACATGTTACTGAGCGATAGTTGCTCAAATCATGCCATGTATTTCCTACAACATAACTGTGCATTAGTATATAATCAGAAGTAGAGAAGTAATCAGTAGAGTAGAAATTCATAATGTAACACTTATGACTGAATATCTTGATTAAATCTCATCAAATTAGCTGAGGAAACAATCTTCACAATATATTAATTCACTCCCAATATATCTGGTTGCCAGATTGTACACATTCAAACAACAATCTCAATTGTATAAAAGATGGAAAGTATATAGAATATATTATTATTAGCATCCAGTAGCTATCAACTCAACCTCCTGACTTGGAATGCTGTGTAAGCCACTGAAGTGTGATATCTGTAATAGGTGAGAAAAAAAAAGATTAAATATAAAAACAAAAAATGTGATCATAAAAAAGAATTGATATACAAATAAAGTCAATGGAATGTTATTTCAGCAAACAATGCATAATAGAGCACTGTGGTATTAACCGTAATGAAAAAGTAAATATAGCAATACAAACTAACCCAACAGAAATATCGTCTGCAAGTGAGACTAAATCTCTCAGTATGGTTAATAAATGTGAACATAAAACATATGCTTCAAAATTACCACAAATATTTTTACAGGTTACTCGTTTATTGTAATTAACACATCTTGCAGTTAGGGTTTTGGGTCTTCAAGTTGATTGTTACCCATTCAAGTTTTTGATTTTTTCTAGCATTAGCCCATACATTTCAGTAGCCATAAAACACAATGTAATCCACAATCCTGCGAAATCACCAAATTTTGCACTAATTTGAATAACAATACTTTCTATACATTTTACTCACAACAGAGCAACTTTATACATATCAGAAAAAAGATTGGCCTTTGGGAATTACGACAAGGAATAAAAAACAAAAAAATCACAACATACCTATATTTTCTTTTTCTTTACATGAAATTGAATAACAGCATATTTCTCTATCTTGAATTGCTGAAAGATTCCTATAAAACAGACATGAATTAGTTCGTCATGGAAACATACCAGAAAACCAGTGAATGATCTTTACCTCATTGCTCCAAATTTAGTATCGTAAGTATGTTATCACTGAGTTGGGAATATTGACTAAACAAATAAATTTTTGTACTAGGCTCAGTGATGCGGCACATCGTACTTAATGTTAGGAATACGCTCGCCATTACATATCTGATTACCCTACTTGGTTCGAATCCTGTGGAGTATAATTATGTGCAAGAGGATTGCTGGACTCTTCACCGCAATAGGGTGGTGTACATATAACCGATGGTCGGTTGCGCCTTCCTCCACCATCAAGTCCATGCATCTGAATTAAATAACTGGCTAACTATCCCACACCCAACATGGACTGGTAACTGAACGAAAGGCTGGGGTTCGCCATATGATTAAGCTGTCTTATTCAACTTCCCTCTCCCTTGGGGTAAATATGTAAATCCTATTCCTATTCTATTCAATTTAGTTTGTCTGAAAAGGAACTTGGTGAAATTTATAATAAAACTTGAATCAGAAAAGTTCATATTATTGTTTATACCGCCATATATTATCCAGTTTCATCAACAATTTCACATAGTGAAACCTCATTTTTATCTAGGGAATCATTCGGGGGAATTTACAATATCACAACTATTGTCTAAATATTACTGGGTATATGGCCCTAATTTATACATTCCTAAAGAGATAGAATTCGATTTTTCAGAGTAATTTTACCAAATCTAATATATTTAAAAGGTTGTGTAATATAAAATAAAACTTACATTCTTTCAATGAGTTCTTTTTCATCAAGTGCATTAGGTAAATCTCGCTTGTTTCCAAGGACTAGAACCTAAAAAATTGAAGATGATTAAAAAAGCAGCAGGGCCAAATTGTATGACACAGGGTATGGAATAGAACATAGAATATTTTAAAGATGCTTATTATTAAAGATGTCACTCTTACTTTATAAAATTTGATAATAATTTTTCAATACCAGACAAGGTATTGCAAAATGGATGGAAAATATTATACAGTGAAAATTCAGAATAGGCTGCTATCAACTAAATAGTTACAGCAACTTCACATGCACTGATACTAAAAGATAGTGAACATTCAGGCTGAATACTGAGGGGCAGAAATAAAGTTAAATTTTTTTTATCACAGTTGAAGTCCATGATGACGCAATGCAACTCAGACATGCAATATTAATATTTTATAAGGAAATGAGTTTTAAGTAGCCTACAATTCGTGAACACAATGACCCGAGGTTTGTAAATATGGACAAAAGGTATAAAAAAATTGAAGTTCAGACTATTACCATAATTCCAAAATAAAATTTAACAAATCGTGTGATACCGGCACACCACGATGGTACAATTTCTTCAAATTTATAAAGTGCAAAGTACACATCAGCAGCTGCTTGTGCATTCTTGTTGAGATAAAATTAGAACTTATCATCAATATAGCCTACACAGAAATCAAACCAATTCTTCAATTACAACACTCTAGCATTGATGCCAATATACAAGTTTGCTCAAACAAATTGTCAGTCAGAGAGTCAGTATCCCTCAAATCAAAACAGGAGGCTAATGATAGAGAAGTAGAAAACTACTGATGCGCTAAAGTCAAGCAAGTTTATCTTCGCGATAAAGACATCAGTACAAAGCTGTGAACACAGGGAAACAACTACCAGTAAGTGGAAATTTCATAAAGTATTTTTTGTCCAGTTGAAACACACATACGATAAAATGAATTTACCATGATGCCTGAAACTAGTATTGGAACAATTATATCTATGACTCTTATGTACATTCAATGAAGAAGCTTCAAAACAGTCACATTAACATCAGCTCAGATGTGGCCTGAATACTCTCTAGAAAAGGACATATCATTGATTTGCACAGAGGAAGTCGTTATCCAAATATCCACAAGCTCCATGAAGGGACCAGTTTTTCATTGTAATTTTCCTAGCAAGATTTAGGATCTTCCAATATCTGTGGCTGCTTGTACTACAGTGTCTTGTACATATCAAACAGTGTTAAAAGCATAAAAATTGATACAATTCATTTATCGCGTGGCATGTCTGCGCAAAAACGGAAAGAAAACATGTAGCACTTTATGTGAGGAATTTCCTAGTATGGATGCATATAGCAAAGCATTGCTCGTTTGCTGTTGAAGTATTAATATGTGAAACAAGTTGTCACATGAATATGATTCATCCACTCTACACTCAGATGTATAGAACAGTGAGTTCGATAACAATATGAAACATGGCTGTTAAAAACCAAAGAAGGTACTATTCCCCATACATTCTGGTATTGAATTTATGCATATCCAACAAATACTAGTTGTCTCACTTTTAGACTTTAATTGCTTTAAAAGACAATTTTATAACGAAACAATTCCAAATGATCACTTCAAGAACAGCGAATATCGAAGCTACTGCTTCATCTATATGATGAGAAGGAAAAAATTTATACCACTTCAAACTCTAGACTCCCGATTGGCATACCACTCAATTGCGATTCAGACTACTGAAGAAGTCCAGGCTGAAAAAACTTTAAACTCCAGTTCCCAACTCTGAGAGGCCCAAATTTTGTTCACAAAAACTTTTGTGTATTCCTTATTGTCTACTTAGAATGCTTAATACGGTAAACTTTTTTGGTTTACGTCAGAAATTTTGATGTTGATAATTACCACTATAACAAGTCTGAAATTCAACTCTGAAAACAATTTCTACTTCAGCTCCGACTCCCGACTCTATAGAGTCCAAAAATACGACTCTGGCTACAACAGTATTAAAAACATGACAGACTACGATTCCACCTACACAGTTGTGATGAGATCTACAGAATTCAACAATAATCTGGATACCATCGCTAAACAAACTACATAGCATATGCAATGAGGATTTTACAAAATGATAATATTTAATAATAATTCACACAAAACAAGCTTTTTTTCAATAAAAAAATAGTATAATCACCGGTATTCCAAGTAATTGTGGTTTTTCTAAAAGATTATGAAGTTCATTTTTGGATGCATCTACTTTATCAATATCTGCAGAATCAACCATGTATCTGAAATATAGGATGGTATTTACATATTTATCACAGGGAAGATAAGACAGCTTAATCATATGAAACACCACGGCTCCTCGTTTGGTTACCAGTCCATGTTGGGTATGAGATTAGTTAGCCAGTGATTTGTTTTCAGAAGCTTAGATGTGATGGTAGAGAAAGCCATAACCGACCAGCGGTTACGTGAACCACCCCAAGGCTGTGAAGAGTCCAGCAATCCTCTCACACATGACTATTCCCGCATGGGACTCGAACCTACAAACCCACACAAAGTAATCAGAGGTGCGGTAGCGAGTGTATTCCCAACGCTTAGCACTGCCGAGCCAAAGTTTATTTGGGGGTCAAACCATTTCACTATTACTTTCTTAAAACCATCAGAGAATATTATATATCTAAACAGTAAACATAAATGTTCCAATAAAATTGCAAATTAAATTTTATAGTGACTTGAAAGGGATAAAGTTAATAACATGCGACAAATATGGTAAAAGAATATAAGCAGAATTGACAGAATGTTCTGGCCATGATATGAACTTTATAAAATATAAATCAGCTTACACAATGGCATTGACGCCTCTACAATATCTCTCCCACATGCTTCTGAATCTGGGTTGGCCACCAATATCCCAAATCTGTAGAAAGGATCGTTATCAAGATAACAAAAAGTAAACATAATATTTTGCTTCCTCAGGAATAGTTAGAAAAAATAACAATTACATGTAGATCTATTCAACCATGCTTATAATAAATTGCAGTCAGATTAAACAAGAATCAATATTGCTCCATCGTAAAAAAAGAAGAAAACATAAATATAGTTAAGTTCATAACAAAACAGAAAACACAAATATATATCTTGAAAGTTTCTCAAGATAGTATTTCTCAAAATATGATCTTTCTTGTATATCCCAGAGAGGATAGCTGATAAAGTAGATTTTCTTGTCTGGTTACCAGTCAGGATGGAGTGAAAAAATAGTTGATAGGAAAGTTGCGGGTTCCATATCTTTTTTATACTTTACTCTTACTTTAAATAATTATACCTTAATTGTAACATTTCCTTTTGAAACTTTCCTCATGTTAAATCCAACTGTGGGAATCATATCTTCATTGAATTGACCCGACTGTAAAATCATTATGAATATTTTAATCCAGTAATCATGCACTTGGATAAAGATGTAGGCACACTTTAGCATGCAGTTCTTAGTCAATTATATATTCTGACATTGAGCAAACTTTTATGGAAAAATTGGGTCTGGTATAGTTTAGTACCACATGCACTTCTAGTTGGCCTGGCTCAACAATTTCTGCATATGCCAATCCTAACCCCCACCTGACTACATCACCGAAAAATTACGTCATTTCGACGTCACATTGGCGTAATAAGGTCCGCCAAAGTATGCGGATGGTCGTCCAAAACGCGCAGATGATCACCCGGAATAGAGCAAGCTATTTCTCTCGTTTTCCCGTCATAACGATCACGATAGGAGAGAGATCGTCGGCATTAGCGAGTTCGTAATCGGCGGCGTAGATGCCATTTCGGGCGATCATAATTATACTTTGGGAAGCCCTATGACGTGTTTGTGACGTCGTATTGACGTAATTTTTGGATGGCATAGTCGGGTGGGGGTCAGGAATAACATATGCAAAATTCGTTTTGATACGCCAACTGGAAGTACTTGTGGTACCGTACTAAACTATACTAGTCCCAAAAAATTATCATATATATTATGAGTAGAAATGGTAAAAGCAATATTTATCAATATGTGCAATGCAAGCTACATCGAAATATATAAGATACTTACAGCTATAACATTAACAAATGTTGTCTTCCCAGAATATTGTAAACCAACCAACGTCAGTTCCATCTCTTCTTTCCAAAACAGAGATTTAAACCAGTCCAGCATACGCCCAAAAAATGCAAACATCTTGGATATTATTTACTCTACTAATACTGAAATCCTATAACCTATGGTCATCATATGTTAATACTGTGATATGAAAATGAAGTATCTACCTAATGACCTATATCTGTACGGTATATGCTATGCTGCTATATGAAATTGAATATTCAGGTTTGGAAAAAATCAGACATTGCAATCATGATCATACCCAAATTAAGGAAGTTACATTTAGCACATCCAGGTACTGAGATATCATATGACTGTATGACATGAAATATTAACATATTTTTCGAAAAAGGAAAGGAAGAAAAATTCAAGATCAATGGATCAACAAAAAGATATTATTAATGTATTAAATGTAGGCTTGTAGGCTATATGGGCAGGACTATATGCCTAATAAATTTGGATTAAATTTCAGTACTAAAATCCAGTATACAGTTACCGGTATTGACAAAATCTGAAGATGCAGACATGTCAGCAGACAGCAATGGGTTGTTATGGACATAGACGCCTAGCCAATCGTGGCGCCATATCACAACGTTTAGTTATTAGATAGTAGGAAGTTAACAACCAAACGAATTACAGTCACGGTCAAAACATGCAGACGGCGGTGTAATAATCAATTTTCTAATGCAGTAGTGCGACATCCCACCTATCAACTTTTGCTAGGGCAAACAATGGAAAATATGTTGAGCAATCAGGCAGGGGTCATATCGCCACCTGGCGTAAGAACGGCATCATGTGACGTGAGCGCTTTAACCGTAAATATATACTACTACGCTTTAACAAAAGATAGGCCATGGGCCAAAATCTGTAAAGCGCTTAAAATCGAGTTCGTAGTGACTCTTGGGGGGGTACCTAAATTTTGGTTCAAGATGCTGCTTGCCCAATCCTCTTTCACATGCCAAACGTATATGCGATGGAACCAATCGTTCCTTTCGCACATGGTCATCCTCAATTCGATTAAAATTTACTGGACATTTACCTATGCGAACCCAAGCCAAGCTATGACTCTTGTAATACTACCGCGCTATTCTGTTGAAAGAAAATTACAATAAGAAAGACGGTTGTTGAACAGGATCATTACCTGTAATGACAAGCAAAACGTGGCGACGCTATATAAGAAGGTGACCGTACATTTGAACCCATGTACATTTGAACCCATGCGTATATCCACGGGTTCAATCTATATGCGGGTGCTATAACCCATGGGTTAGGGTTAGTATGGGTTTAACTATCCGTGAAACAAAAAAAATCCCATAGGTGCAATAGCATACAGGTGCAATTGTCATGGGTTCAAATGTACGTGGGTTCAAATGTAATGGAACCATATAAGAATATACTTGTAATTTTAAAAAAAATTCTATAAACTCTCTTTCAGCTTGAAATCAAAAATTTACATTATATGGATAAAATATATATACATATATAGGAGATTTTACTAACGCCTTCGGGTATAACTATGCTCTTTACCGACAAATACATTCGATTCTGCAGAAATACGTGTTCATTCGTTACGAATATGCCTACACAAGATATGATTCAGAACTCAGAAGTATAATGCGGTCATTCGCGCAGAACTGAGATCTGTGCGATGTAATGAAAATATTGTGTTTCTTTTTCACACATTCGCTCTTGACTAGGCTATGTACAGCCAACCGTTGAATGTATGTGACGTTCATCCACACTTTCACTCTGAACAAATCTGGATACAAGCAATCGCTTTTAGTCAGGCTATGTAAACTAAATACTACGAAATAGTGTGGCCCTCGAACGACCTCACTTTCAAAGTATCAAACGAAAGGATTTTGTGTAGTCAAGGGGTCAGCAATCTTTTGTCGCTCGCGGGCCAAAATTAAGGGTTGCAAGTCATTGACGTGCCGCACCTATTTTTATCAATTTGAGAACCGAACGGATGATACTTTTTATAATAAAAATCAAGCAGTGATACATCGCTCGAATAGAATATAGATTTATTCCCTCATGGCAGCTCATAAAATTACATTTGAATATTTTCAGCGTCATTGAACCCTTTGCACTTAGCATCCTGTTTCTGCGTTTTGTTGCCATTTGTCTAATTATAATTAAATTATAGGCTCATTAAACGAGTAATTGTGAATTACCTAATTGTTAGGTTATAATTTAATTTAGTCTAAAGCAGTGTTCCCAACCCGAGTCCGCGGTCTCAAATGAGTCCGCGGAGCGTTTGAATGAGTCCGCAACGGGCCAGAAATTTACAGGGGTCGCAAACGTTTTTGCCAGACCTGACTATCAGCCAAGTTACGATTTATGTTAGAATTTACATAAAACATAAAAAAATAGGTTTATTCACATAACTTAATCCAGTCAATAATTACTGGTTACTGAGTAGGGCTTGGCATATATTCAATCAATCAATCAATTTTATTTGGTCACTCTGATACAAACAACAAGAGGGCTGTACTCAAATATATGGACACGTTAACCAGAGCGAAGCAGTATTTACCTTTAACGCCACCGGTACCCACAAAAAATTCCGAGTTTCGCGTAGAAATAATTTACAGAATCAAACCGGACAGCCAGTGTTCCCATGGATAAAATAATACAGCGACATTTTAGACGAAATATCAGATTTCATGCGAAATTTAGAAATAAATAAAAGTAATAGCCTTCTGGCAAAAAAATCAATCTTTACTCACTGAAAATTTAAAAGCAATTGGTCCAGTATTCGAAGAGAAAAGCGATTTTTTAAAAATGATGGAGACAAATAATAACAATAACAACATAATATTGAAACGATCGTTATGTCCACTAAACGTGTCCAAAAAACAAAACAACAACAAGGGACAAACATAATACAGAGGACCTGGAGGACGGGCATAACTTAATAATAAAGTTAAATACGTACAAGTACGTGCCCGTCCCCCAAAAACAGTCAAAACAATAAAACAAAATCACGATGTGACATCGGGCAATATCTTACAAATTCAAATTAAAATGTGAGACGTGTATGTGCTTTTCCTACAGATATATGGATTAAAGAACACTCGCTGCCGAAAAATGGTGATGCTGTAGGCCTAGTTCAATTACGTTGCAAAACTAACACATTGACAAATTTTTTTACTAAAAAACAAGCTTGGTAAATGGATTGAATGTTCCACAGCAGTCTATGCACAAATCATGGATTGGGGTGTTGGGTTCTTTTGTCGTTTTCGGTTAGTTCAGTTCAAAATCATTGTATCCGTTCCAATGCTTTCAACATTAATATCGAATTTCCTCGAACGACCACCATTCAGCCATTTCAACAGGTGCAATGGTCCCATCTTTTCTACGCCCTGTTCCATCATCCACGTGTAGATTCATTAAAGGATCGAAACCTCGCAATATACCCGCAACAGATCGTCCACCATTTAACTTAAAAATCTTTTATCCATAAACTTTAATTCCAGTGGACGGGCTTTGCTCATGTTGATATTACGCGATACAGATTACAGATACCGAAACATACAACGCGTAGCATTCACTAGTCTATATTCAAATATATATTCAACTATTAGAATAGCAATTTGCTATTCGAAAATTCGGCAACAGGTGGCGTGACAGGTCACCTGCGCGTCGCCTAATCAAACAATTGGATTTCGCAACTCATTTGCGGATTTTCGACGAAAACACCAGTCGGCACGCGCGTCGATAGATACCTAAGTAGTGTTTCTCGCGAGTGCGAACAACCAGGAATAATTTTTTTTCTGGTAGGTGTACTAAAAATAACACGGAGAACACCATAAGTTTTGTTTAATGGTGGTCCGCGACCGATTAAAAACACCTTTCTACATTGCAATTCGCAAAATTTCCGGTGCCGCCATAGTATGCGTACAAGGGCATTTTCCTTAGGATACTTTGCTTTACTGCCTCCACATTGGTATGTAGGCTACAGCACTGGAGCGGCGTAAGTTTTGTTTCGGATTTGTCGAATTCACAAGATCGCAAAAATTATGTATCAAAACTAAATACGAGAATATCGGTCTTACTTATCGATCGAAAGTTAGGGGATCCCAAAAACAGCGATCTCACTCCATAGTGACACCGTGTGTCCCATCACTAATTAATCAATAACTCGCTAATTATACGACATAATTCATCCAAAATCAATGGGCTTCTGGTCCGACATATGATGAATACACATGCAAAATCTGGAGCAGATTCAATCTCGCTTTCGTGAGATATCGCGTGCATCTAACAGACAGACAAACAAATACCTTACAACATACTTACCGATTAAAATCAATAAGTAATAATCGGGTAACATATTCTCACATTGGTATATTCGCAGATTGCCGTGGAATTTGAAGAAGTAATGCTTTCATCTTTTCGTAAGTCGACGCAACCGCGAATTACCATGAACACGATTAAATTAAAATAGAAAGACATTTTAAATTCTCGTCGTTGTCATGGATTGGATATTGTTGGACAGAAAAGGCGATTATACACTAAAAAATTCGGCCATTTTAACGAACGCGTAATTGCGGCAAAATTCCGTTGTGTTTGGTTTTATTGCTTCTTCACACAGAGTACGGTTGCAATAAATGCACCTTTAGTCCGCAAAGGTTTTCGCTGGTGAGAAAATAGTCCGCGACCAAAAAAGGTTGGGAAACGCTGGTCTAAAGAATATTATAATCATCAAAATGGATGTTTGTTACTATAATTCAGTGAAGCGTCGCGGGCCGGATTATATTACTCCGCGGGCCGGATCCGACCCGCGGGCCGTAGGTTGCCGACCCCGGATGTAGTCAGTTGCGTCAATCGTTTATTTTCTAAATGTGCTTTAGGTTAGGAAATTTAAACAATTGGATTTGACCAGCAAACAGAAATCAACCTATCAGCATCCGTGAGGAAATACAAAGCCTATGGTATGAATGTTCGGTAGCGCATATTGGTGTGAGCAGTGTTTTTTTCAAAATGTAGCATACTAAACTAGGAATAAACTTCGTACTTGCTTGCCAGATCGCCATTAGAATAGTCCGGCAGATAAGGGGGCCTTTTGGGCCCAACCTTGTTTTCAGATATATATAAAGTTTTTTTTATTTGTGATTATTCATCTTGGGGTCATTGCTTATCATTTCTACATGGATGTGGAGTTTGCAGCCTTGAGCAATTTTTTTCACGGCTTGATATTTGTATTGGTGTTTTTCGTCAAATCTGTGCACCATAATGGCGCACAACCTGAACCCTAACCTGTTACAATACTATGTTCAGGTTGTGCGCCATCTTGGTGCAGAAATATATACAAGAAATAGGGACGGCACGGATGAAGTAAGTCTGTATTAGAGCTACTAAAGAGTCGGCTACTGGTGGGCTATGCGTCACCATCAAAACAAAATCCCCAAACTCGAAGTACAGTATATAATAATGATATGGAATTGAGCTCTCGCTTCAATCTGATATTCCTCAATGAGGAATATATATTTCCACCATATTGTTGTAAACTTGTCGTGGACTGTTTTTGTGTCACATATACCCCCTAAATGGAGACCCGAATTACCCTAACGATATGAAACTAAGCTCTCGCTGCAACTTGATATTCCCCAAATAAAGAGCACTGATCCCTATTGTCGTAAAACTGTCGCGGATTGTATGTAGAAATGTTATTTGATGATGCCATATACATATATATGTCAACCAAGATAGAAACCTGAGATGGCTACAACGTTGGGAGAAATATATACAAATAAACAAAAACCTAAAATACACATTTCTTTTTAACTGACACTATTGTTAGATGTAAAGATGACTTAGATTTAAAACGCCGATGCAAATCAATTTATTGGAAACGAAGTGGGCCTATTAGCATAATCCAATAGCCTTTGTGGCTAACATCGGAACACTTTTGGTAGCATCTCGTCTTCCTTTTGTCATTACTGAAGACAGCTAATAGAATTCCACGAAAACTGAACTAAATATAATATAAACCTTTCATAATAAATATATAATAGGAGGTATGACTGTAGGCTTACCATATCTCTGAAGCCAAAAACCGGGACGGCACGGATTGGACAAGTCAAACTTGGTTAGATTCTGGGGGTTAGTAATAGTTTAAACGTTTTCCTACCATTGTGGGTAGATTGCAGGCATCAAAATTAGCTGTAAATCTTATTACGAAATCCTCGGTTTGACAAATAAAAATAAACTCTCTCTTTCTATTGGTCTTCGCTTCAAATAATGGGAATTGTTCTCATTCTTAAACTCATTAGAAAACTTGCACTTTGTTTCCGGCATTTTGATGATTCAACGACATTACAGTTGGGTGTTAAATTAACGCATTCATACTTCATGTCATGAAGTGAGACGCAAATCATTGGTAAATCGGCTGCCTCCATTAAAAATAATTTTTTTTTTGTAATATTATCGAATAGAAAACTATTATGACTGTCATACTGCAAAACCGGGACATTCAAGTCTATCGCCGGGACGGCAGAAAAACATGCTAAAACCGGGACTGTCCCGGCTAAACCGGGACGTATGGTAAGCCTAGGTATGAGGGAAAGATTGATCGATTCGACAGCAGTGTTCCCTCTATGAAAATATTACACTGCGCGATTGTTTGTTTTAGTGAGCATGAATATTTTGAGGCTAAGCAGATTCCTAAATGATTTACAAACTTGTGAAATATTACAACAATATGTTATCAGAATGCGAACAAAGTACATACACATTTTAACTCAAAAAACTTTTCCTTGTTTTCTTGATTTTTTAATGTTTATACACTTTTCCATGTTTATTGCTGGTCTGTGGCACCAGCTCGCGCTGGCATTGTAAGCTCGGCTTAAAATATCTCTTTCCAGATGATTCAAAAGAAATCCAGGTACTTGGACGTAACAGTGGTAACGAAAATGCTCGTGAGGCTAATTAAACGAGTAATTGTGAATTATATATACGTGTTATGTTATAATAGAATTTAGTCTAGTGTCTCACATTAAGTTCTGTTACGTGAAGAATATAATCGTCAAGACAGCTGTTTTGTTACTATGATTCAGTGGAGCGTCGCGAGCCGGATTATATAACTCCGTAGGTTGCCGATCCCTGGTGTAAATGGTCTGGTGGTACGGCGCAGTTGCGCACCTCAGAGGGAACCTTGGTCGACAGCACGCTTTGTCAATTTGTGTATTCAACAATTATGTTTGGTTTTTATGAAATACCAATATCGAATAACTGTTCCGCAATGTCGATAAGTTGAGTTTTCTGAGAGTTTCGTTTTTTGGAATTTCCCAAAATTGAAACTTGTCTCGTAAGAATGTGAAACTTAGCACTCGCTGCAATTTGATATTCCAAATAATAGAATATTTACTCTGAACCCTATTGTTTAAATACTGTGATAGACTACAAGTAGTACTGAGCTTCAATACCGTATACAGCGTGGACAAACATAACCTGTGATGAAGAACAGTATTACAAAGAACACAACACACGAGTATTTGTTTAGCTGACACCATTGTCATTATATAAATAGGTATCAAGTATATAAACTGTAGTGTTATGAATATTTAGAGCTTATTTCTACTTCTTCAATGACCTATTTACGATATTTGTTGTATCAGTATCTAGTCTTCTAAAAAAATTGTGGACTGATGGCGGAGGGTTATACATCTTCGGAAGGCGGAAGCACATCGCGTAGAGCGTTAGATGAAAGCGGAAAATTGTACACGCAGATGAAAAGCCATATAGCGACGAACGGACAGCTGGATAGGCATGGTTTTCCCCGTCCCGGCGGCGCTGCAAATCGTGCCCATTTTTTGGAATCTGAATGGCTGAATATAACAAAAGTTTCCCCATGCAAATCCAATGAATTCAATAATTCCACGCATAAAAAATGCAGGAGATGTAAAAAAGATTTTACAATCGAAACTCCCGATCGAGTAACAGGCGGTCAGTGTACATATCATCATGGTAGATGTTGGAATAATATTTGGAAGTGCTGCGGAAAGCAAGAAGGAAGTCGGGGTTGCACAACGGCCGGAACCCATGTGCACGATGATAACATGAGAGATCCGTCCGGTTACGTTACAACTGTAATAAAACCAACTCCTGAGAATGGCAACCCAGGTATGTACGCAATTGACTGCGAAATGTCGTACACAATAAATGGATTGGAGCTCACAAGCGTCTGCATTGTCGATCACAATCTCAAAACCGTTTATCACAGCTACGTGAAACCTGACAGTCGTATGCTGGACTACAATACGATTCATAGTGGCGTCACCGAACGCGATTTACAGGGAGTGTCAACAACTTTGAAAGATGTACAAAATTTCATGTTGGAAACATTTTCGAAAGACACCATTTTAATCGGACACAGTTTAGAAAGCGATTTTGTGGCGTTGAAATTAATTCATGAAACCGTTGTGGACACATCACTGATGTACCCTCATCCCAGAGGTCTTCCATTCAAATCGGCACTGCGCACACTAGCTGAAAAACATTTACGACTATATATTCAACGTGGAACACACGATAGTAAAGAAGATGCTGTCGCTTGTATGAAATTGGCAATTGCAAAAGTACGCCGTCAAAGTTTTTCCTCTGGAAGAGGTTCAAGTGCGAGAGGTGGAAGAAACCGAGGTCTTGAGAATTTTCTTCTAGATTTTTTCTAGACTCCTGTCTTTCGTCATTATTTCTTTCTCCCGTTGAAGTTCTCAATATATATACTAGTAGTTGGTATTTCTTCAATATTATAATCTTGAATATGCTTTTATAGATTTGTAATATAAAAAAAAATCCGAAATTGAAGTATCGTAATGATATGAAACTGAGCTTTCGTTGCAAATTTTTAAGTAGAGAACAGGAACTAAGCATGTATACGCGTTGGACTTCATTTACACTCTCGCTGGATCCGAAGGAAAACATCCTTTTGGACTACATGTTCATTAAGATTGCAAAGCACATTTTGATCTATCAAGGTTTTTGAGAACGCGAATGACATAGCGGCACATCTAACTAATTAATGTAACCGGCTAAGGTGCATGGAAATGAATGTTCCTTCTTATATGAACGATCACTTACTATAACATAGTATATTATACTAACATAGTGAAGAGTTTGATGGAGAAATAAATGGCGTATACATGATTTCTCTGCGGTAAAATTAATTTCAGTTTTATGAATTTGCGGTTATTATGATGCCCCACATACGATAGCACCTGATGCAAATTGCAAACGCGTCAGGATAAATCACATACAGTCTGTTCCAACAATATATATATATATATAAATACGCATGAAATATTTACGGGATTGGTACCGTGAAATCAAACAGTATTTCTAGGTCTATAGTGTAGTTCAGTGATTGCTTTCGTTTGAACAGAATCATATCTATGTAGGATTCTACGCGGTTCAGCCAATCAAAAAATGTTGACTAGAAAATGGATCTATGGTGATTAGAATGCTTCATAGAATAGGATACGACCCACGGATGGTTATCGGTAAGGTGGACTATCGCGAGGCTGTAACGAATGAGTTACATATGAATGCATCGTTGGTTTACAAATGCTGATTCTGAAAATGATACAGTGGATGATTTTTATCAAAAATTTTTATTTAAAACTTTAATTTATCAAAAATTAAATTGCATTATAGAAAATCACAAGATTTTTTACTAAACATCATATAAAACCCGACATCCATTGTTTTTATTTGTATTTCCTATACAGAAATTAAGTGACAAATATCATAATTGTGATATCACATAATCTTGAATAGTGGTGTGTTCTTCACCTTACCTCAGGTCATTGAACCTTTCCTCTCCCACACATTTTAAATTTATTTTGAGGGTAGGGTTTAATTGAAATCATTTTGAAAATTCAAATTATTATCTTATTTTCAGGCCAGGTCTTATTTTCGAGGAAACACGGTAGTTCTGCGGTGATCAGTCAAAGTTAAGTGGGTCGCCATAAGCTGTGGTAATAAATAGTGGGTCTCAACTCTAAAAAGTTTGGGAAGCACTGCCCTATACAGTATATATTGTAAAGGTATTGAAAACGCTGCGCAGGCTATGAGGCCATATCCTTAATATATACTATAGCTTAATATGGACATCTAATTATGGGCGACATCCTTGAAAACAACATAAAAATTACGACTCAACAAAACTACCCTTTTCCATTTTCATACTGCATTGAGAATTTTTTTGTACTCATTTACAGGCTGAATAAAGCTTGAACATGGAGATGCTTGAATATAACCATGACTCAAGTATGTATTAATATAAGTGCTGACGAAATTGGGCGATGATCTTATAATTGTACCTCGATTATCCCTGCCGCACAAAATTTTATCCTTTTCATTGAGAACACATTTGAAAACTTCTCTAAAACAGGGCTTCCCAAACTTTTGAGCTCGCGGCCCCTTTTAATATATTGAAATTATTTTCGCGGCCCTTGTCCACGTTAAATAATGCCAAACAGCATTTTTGATGTTTTATTGACACAGCTAGTTCTCAACTTTCTACTCAATAACAAAAACAAGTACATATTTATTCAGATTAACGTTTTTCGATTATTCAGTGTAATGGGTACGAATGCTTTTTGCTGCATAGCAAGGCTCAATGTATGTTTATACAGGCCTGAATGATGAATTACGTTGTATGGCTACCGACGGCATGGTCCTTGTCTCGAATTGTTTACTCTAATTGATCAAACTTAGCATAAGGCAGCATTTTGTGCGACGCCAAATTATCAGGGAAAAAACTCATGGCGCACCTACACGAAAAATATACTGCCTCGAAACAAAACACAATTTTGTCATCGTTAATATGAACTAAATGTCTTTTGAGGTTTTTAATCATGTAAGCCCGAGAAATAAAGAAAAAAAGTTAACGTTTCTTTTTTTTATCACTGCCTGGTTTTTCTTTAAAATGCTAAAGAAATCACTCAAGTTTGATGAACTCGGTTCAGCTAACGAATAAACTGCAGTCTATACGAAATTGCTGCATGTAGGGTTTATTTCTTATATCGCGTAACAATATACCCTACGTACAGAAAGTAAACACATAGAACGGCAAAATGACTTTGATTTATAAACACGTCATTTGAAACAATTAAACATTTAGAATAAATATAATAGGTAATATGTTTCTAGGCGCACTCAGCAAATCGTCTTCGAAAACCGCTAGCTTAACGACTAAAGCCGTCATTGATATGCAAATCGCAAATCGAGTTTCACGATCAGAATATCGTCACGCTAATAACCGAATTGCGTAAGTCATTTTTGGCGATTTTGAGTTTTTTCTAAAATAGGTATTTATGTAATGCTGCGCACCTGTCTGTTAACTCAGATTTTATTTTAGGAATTTCGAAAACCCAAAAAATGGAGATTTAGTACGACTGCACCTTTGTGCAATTGTTTCGTCATAATGAATTATCATTGGTACCGCAAGACTATTGTGACGTCACAAAGGCAAAATAACCACGACGACGTATTTTCGAGTTTTTGCATCTCGGATTCTAGCTTAGCGCGTATTAATTTGAATTTATACTACAGTATAGGAAGGCGTGCACTTGTGATATTCACTGTCCGAGCCCAATTCACCTTGGTTGGCTTTTATATTGGGTGCATTGCTGTTTTATTCTTTATATTTAATCTTAGTCTTATTTCGGTGGGTGTGCAAAACGTGTTATATTGATGAAATATATATTTTTGAACATAAAAAATAATGTAAATGAAACTGATTAGCTATTTTGGGGATTAGACATTGTAGATACTGAGGATTACATTCGTTTTTTGAATGTTTAGTTTTCAGGACTGGTGCATATAGTAAAGTTTCAAAATTGCCTATGTCCCCAAAGTCATAGACACATTTCTGCCTAAGTCACAGTGCGCCATTATGACGTCACTTGACTGCGTCATACAAATTAACTTAAATCCGGCTACGATCAAAAAATTGAACCATGGCAAATTATTGACTCTCAATGGCATAACGATATCATTAGGAAGTTTTTTACGTTTTTCTCAAAACTGCTAAAAATGACTTACGCAATTCGGTTATTAGCGTGACGATATGCATTGTTATGCAAGCGCCATCATTCTACCGTGTTTCCCCGAAAATAAGACCAAGCTTGAATTTTAAAAAGATTTCAATATAAGAGCTCGCCTTTAAAAAGGACTTAGTTTTTTTTTTTGGCTCAATCTCGTGGAAGTGCGTCGTTTCAAGTTAAGTTTTGTTTAATCGTTTATATGAAACTCATTGTGAAAAAGATCTTTCATTAAAAAGTATCAATACGTATTTTCACGGGGGGTCGCAACTTGAGCATATTTTTGAAGGGCGTCACAATACGATGAATTTCGAGAACCACTGCGTCCCAGTCGATAGCAAAAAATATTTTCTACTTTTTTAAATGGTTAGAAGTCTATATGTAGCAGTTATTTAAAATAAAAACGTGCTATTTATAAGTAAATGGAAATCAATATTCATATTTTGTATAATAAAAAATCTTATTATTCTCTATCCCAAAAATAAGCCCTAGTGTTATTTTCGAAAGAAAATTGAGGACAGTGTCTTATTTTCGGAAAAACACGGTACTATGATGATGTATTCGCTCGGAATCGTGAAATCTTTGTTTTACACTATTTGTATAATAATTGTATTTCGAATCAAGAGTCTGAAAAAAGTACAATATATATGGTAGCCTACTTTGTGTAAAATTGGTATTCTCTTTGCGGCCCCTAAAATTCGTTTTGCGGCCCCTTCCAGGGCCGCGGCCCCTAGTTTGGGAAGCCCTGCTCTAAAATGATCCTTCCACATATAAGTGATTTCTTTCCTCCTTGTCTACCTAACACTAGTTGGAATCGAAAAAGTAGAACCTCTGGTATTATTTGCCTGGCAATAGCATCAGCTTAATTCCTTGTACGCTATCTTTCACAGAAAAACCGTTTTTGTTGTTACATATTCATCAACAATTAAAGCGATGACAGGGATTGTTATTATAAAATCCACCCAAGATATGCCTGTCAAGCAGCTAAATAAGCGTCTTCGACCGTTCTTTTCAGTACTAATTCAGCAATATACTAATCTCACGTGTATCATGTGAGATTGCCAATTAAAAAGGGCAGACCAAATATCATGATTAAATTGATCAATGCATACACGGTGAGACTGACAGTTGCTCCTATCCTATCGTTATGGAGTCGAAATGAACTTATACAACCGACCAGTAGAAGGTGATGTTCTGGGGTTGTTGAACTGTCTTGACGATACGGTAATCTATGTACTGTCTGGGCCAAAATTAGGGGTTGCAAATCTTGGCGGGCTGCGCATATTTTTTAAGAAAGTTAAAAACCGAACAGGTGGCTGATGGATCACAATTTTACACTGACTAGAAGTTGAATTTCAGACTTCAAATATCGAGCGAACACTGCGACGACTCATGGACTCAAGTTGTCTTATGTAATGAATGAGAAATGTAGTACCTTGATATAAGGCTTTATCCAACTTAAATCTAAAGCACACTTAGAATGAATCTAAAGTTAACACATCTATAACACAAGTTATTAAACAAGAAAACAAATACGTAGCGGATTCCTGATGCTAACAGTAAGCGACCCCATAGTTAAATGAATAAAGTTGAAAGAATTTACACACTACATCTACAGCACAGCAATGATTGATGTCTGATTTAAAACGCTCTAGCAATCTTCGCTGGACTGCAGCTGTATAAACAAATGAATGCATTTAGTTACGTTCACAAGTTATTACATTCTCTGCCAGTTTAGAGATTTAGTCTGTCTACGGTTCGGCGTTCCCTGGTTGATCTCCTTAGAACTGGAAGAGATGGGAATCTAGAGACAATATTATTTTCAACAATTTCTCCTTGCGTTTGAGTTTCCAGACGTAGATCTTCTAGCAAATTTGAAAACTTGCTCACCTTACTAGGAAAAAAATTACAAATTACAATAATTAGTGTGACACTTGTTGCATTACGCTTGATAGTTTTTCGACATCAAGTGACACACTGGATGAAGCCAAGATTAGCACTTTTCTGAATGCGAATCACTAATCATAGTTCCCCGGTTGTTCTTTGTACTGTTTAATTTCAAAAATAATTGTTCTGTGGCAATGATTCATAATTCAGTTTCAACGTAAATTGAAATACCAAGTTATCCAAAATCCAACGTGAGTGCTGCATTGTAGGTGCAACGTAGTCCCATGCCTGATCATTTCTTCTTCCGTATGCCCTCGAGAAATCGGAATGGCAGCTACCGACGTAGCAACATTATTCGAATACTATTCCGTCGTTGCTAATAATTTCAAGTGGAAACTGTTCCTAAATATTATCCAGTCCTCCATTTTAAAAGTCCACCAACTGAGTTGTTATCCTCGGAGTCGTCGACACCTCCGTCTCGCACACATTGAGGTGGCTTCGACCAGCATGAATGATTATAAAATTAATTATTCAGATAAATAATTGCTTTTTATGGGGAAGGTTTTGTTAAGCTACAGCTATATACACCTCAATGCTCGCACAGCATCCTGCACCGAACGGTAAAGTAACCAAATCCCAAGTCGGCAGAAAAAAATTTCAAACCAACTCATGCCACCTCGCTCTGTATACCGGTACCGTACATTTCACCGTTCACCGCATACTGGCATACGGATCAACTAGCGTAGCGCAGAGGCATTGAGGAAGGATATGGAGTTAGTCTCGCGTTCGGTAACCTCTACTTACTGACTTTTGGACTTATAGGTAGTTATTATAAGTCAGTAAGTTACCGTATCTGTATATACAGTCTGCCTGTGGCAGTGTGAGGGATAACATGTGGAAATTGGGAATGGTGGACACCTGGATTCGTTTCCGTCGTACAGTCGTAGGGCATGTACGATACAGACTGACAGATGTAGGGTCTAGTGTAGTTTCGTACGCCTAGTGGCGTAGCATAAAGATTTTTGCATGTGTTGATCCTAAGTCCCACCCGGCTGCTCCATCTAAGCAGACGATCACCTGAAAAAGCAAGCTATTTCTCTCATTTTCTCATGACATGCAAACATCATTATGCTATACCCACTAGAAGTACTTTTAATCGATGTCTGCTGTACAGTTCTGCAGTTACGTCTTCCTGCACCATGAAGTCCATGTCTCTGGCTAACTAACCCCATGTACAGGTATGTAAATTCTATCCTACTTCAGAAAAATACAGAAATACCTAAATGTTATTAATTAACAGATTTAGCTAGGTCATCAACTTTATATGCCATAGACAAAGAATCTGCATACACTTTATGATTGGATCAGTATAATAGAGAAGATGTATAAAAATATTTCTTCAATCATGGGCAGTGCCATGGTATCAAGATTCGTGAATATTGGAATAGCAAAACGAATATCATGTGTACTTGTTGTAGTTCTTCTAGTTGCGAATGCTCTCAACTACATCGACTCAGGTATATGTAAATTTATTATATTGTTATTTTCAGTTTCCATCTTTTGCATCTTGAAATCTGCTCTAAATGATGTTTTCGAGAAATTATACAAAATTTTGTGATCCTGTAAACCACAATTTTCAACATTTTTTGAACTATGAATCAACTCTTTCTTATATTACCCTATAAATTATAGACGAGTACCCAATCTAATCAGATTTGGAAGTCAATCAAATAACTATTATTCACTTAGATTTCTATCTCTGTCAGTTTTAGCATAGAAAGAAAATAGCATAAAGACAATCCATTGCTTATATGTTTGAACTAAAATATGGCTATAAAGAGCTAAAATACGGATAAAAGCTAAACTCTGTAATAGTTCTCTGAAATACCAATGACAATGTAAGAGTTAGAAATAGCAGTAACATGTTGATGTGGTAACTGGTAATAAGATTAAAATTTGTATACTGTGAGTGATTGAGAAGAGATGAAAGCAGCTCTTCTTTTTTAATCTCCTGTTTCTCTTCATTTTAGTTATCTTCAACTGATTTTATATTCAGGTTTAAATCCATGCAGAGGTCTACTTAAAAATGGAATTTTGTTGGACAAGGAACAAGGTGTTTGGCAACCTCATGGATGCATGATGCACAAATATAAAACAAAGTATGTGTGATAGATTTCTTTTTTTCAAGTGTGGTTTTTGAAAGTAGTAGTCGGAGTAGTCGAATGTATTTTTTGTAATTCAAGACTTGTATTATTCGAACATTTTATATAACATTTTTACATGCATTTTCGCTTTGTACAAGGCTTGGCATCGGCAACCACTGATATGTTAGTCTCTGCTTTGTTTTGACAGAACTGTGATTGTTCTGGCTCGTCATTGACTATCTAATTTATTGCACTCTGTGAGTAAAACAGTTGCCTTTCATTATATTTGTTTCAGCGGGGAAAAGAATAATCCTCCTCTGTCCATAATACTGTCCATATCGATTCCCAATAATAGAATATAATTTGATTCCAAACCCCACTCTTGTTACTTTAGTTTTATTATTATTTAATGTTCATCTATTTTTTAATTTTCAGGGATTCTTACTCTTGTCTGCAAAACAAAAAACTGGCATTTGTTGGCGATTCAAGAATGAGAGAACTTATGTTTTCATTTGTACATGCCATCAATCCAGATGCAAAAACGCCAGAAGGAAAAATTGTGAGTCAACATTTCAATGAACAATTTTTATCAGTCTCATTTAGTTCGCGATATATGACGAGTATTTTTCTAACTATTAGTGGCTGCTTGTCTAGAGCCTTATTCAGAACAATGTCAATAATTTTGAAAGATAGTTCACCTAATTTGGTTTGTGGCTTTACTAGCATTGTTTTTATTTATATACTGAGATGAATATTTTAATTTTAGCATTCAAATATACCTATTAAAGAAGACAAAATATCATTGGTGAGTTCAATATATCATGATTTGATTTGAAATATTCTAAGTTTAGGATAACTAAAAATTTGAAAGCACTGATTCTAAACAGAATAGTGTTTTGATGAATGTATATTCTAATTGACCATTTTATCTGTGAAATCACTTCCAATTCTAGTAAAAAAAAAAATTGGGGCATAATTCTGTATTTTTATCTGATAACTGTTATTGTTCATTTAGGGGTTTTCTTTATCTTAGAACAATTTAGCGTATATATTTTTAACATGTGTCGCAATAAGGTTTTTAGGAATAGCAAATTGGCACCTATTGGGTATTCCTAACATATTCATAGTTTTGTATTTATGGAATAAGTCAGAAATTACAAAAATCTTCAAGTGGCAAGGTTTGGCTGATTATTTTGAGCTGCTTACCTTTTTTTTCATTTTCAAATTTCTCTTCATTGTCATCAACATTTTTAAAAAAAAGTAATGTTTTAGGCATAAGGTTTATTTCAAATATATTCAACTACCCTCAATATAAGATATCTCATTGTTTACAGTCATTTTACTGGGTACCTGAGCTCAACGAGACTGCAACAAATTTGCTGGGAAATTGGGGTGAGGTAAGGCAACATGTTTTAATTATATTGATCACCCGGAAACATTTTCTGTTTTCCTATTTTATTATTGAAAAGCAAAAGGCAGTTTTCATTTTTTTACATAGATTTCAGCTTGAGAAAATTTGTACCAAATGCAAGAAACAAATTTGTAGTTTTGTTGCAACATATAGATTTTGACTGCTGAGTTGCAGCTAAATAAACACATTTGATTGACAATCAGATGAAACAAATCGTATTCTTATTAAGTACAGAAAAGAATGTGATTTTGGGATAATTTTTATCAAATCTTGCATTGATGATGACGGTCTATTTCTAAGATAAAATTGTTTTATTCCAGAGCTCTGATGATCGTCCAGATATCATATTTCAGTCAGCTGGGGCGGTAAGTTTTATTATTATTGTCTTAGTACGTTTTTACGCATTTTTCTAATTGAAAAAAAAATCATATTTTTAGTCTTTTGGGTTGTTTTTCCTGTTGGATTGTTACTTACTTTCAATTTAAGCGCAAAATTTTTCTGTTAATCTCATGGTATTTTTCTTAAGTAATCATAGCATTTTTATTCTTTTTACAGCATACACTAAAGAAAAATGGTTCTCTCGAGGATATATATGAACAATATACAAAAAATTTCACTTTAATATTAAAGGAAATGCAGTATTTAGTCAAAGAACATAGGACTAAAATTTTTTGGATTATGCAAGGTGAGATGTATAAATAATATGACAAATTCTTATTCATGGCACCTAATTGTTTAATTCAGATTTCTGTTCTCTATACAATTCTCTTAATTAATACTGAATTTTGCTAGAACTGATTTGTTTTTAATTTCAGCATGGTATTGAAAGGTTGGAAATAACGAAAAACATATTTTGAGAAATTAGATAATTATTTCAATTATTTTATTATTTGAAATCGATTGAGTGATATAGACCGACTCACACGCAGGAAAATGACTAAGTTTATTGTTTTGATTGAGGATTACAGTGTGATTAAATTTGCTATCGATTCCTTGTTATCTGCCCACTTTATTATTATCATACCTATTATAACAGTACTGTGTCTGTTATCAATATGTGTGAATTTTGAATTTTTTATATCACATTTGCTCTTTATCGGCAATTTTGTACACAACGTTCATTCGATCTTTATGCTCCGAACAAAACGCTGTATAAATAGCCAATGTTATCTAATGCTAAATAAAAAAAACTCCTTTTTCTAATTATTACCTTTTTTCCAAATTGAATAATTGAAACTCCATCTGTTTTCATAATAATTAACTGTAGTTGTAACATACCAATTTTAGTTAAAATCACTCATATTTTCCAAATCGCCTATTGCTATCATTAAAATTGCTCTATTATAAAATTGTATTATGTATTATATTTTTAGAACCAGTTGAGGAAAGCAAACTTATCCCATTAAGAAGACTCATCACAAATCAAAGAATCAATCAATATAATGAAGCTGTTAAAGGTTTGCTCACAGAAAAGGATTCTGAAAACAGGATTCAAGTTATTGAATCATTTAAATGGTATGACTAGAATAGTAAATGAGGAAATAATTTTTTTTTCCAATCATTTTGGTATTGTTACTCTAACGAGTTAGTTAGCAGGGTTGAAGTCCCTAATTCGGGAGTAAAGTTGAGTGACAGGCTAAAGTCTGGTTGGTCATTGAGTTACGTCTCACTGGTGGATGAGTCCATCTTGAGTTGAGTCAATGCCTTGAATCTCCCAGCATTCATTCAATTGACATATTGTTTGTTTGTTCAACTTTTCCTGTTTTATTTTATGGTGTAGATTTCAACCAATAAATCTAAAATAATAAAATAAGCAAGAAGTGGACAGCTGTATTGTTATTTTTTTATACTACTTAGGATCATCTCAAAGTCATTATTTATTTAATATGTAAAGTAAATATTTTCTATTCAGGATATCATACGAATTAATAGAATTATCTGAAGATGGACTCCACTTACCACCACAAGCATTGAAAATAGTAAGTCAATTGTGGATTTTAATAAGGAAGGATTGTGTTATTTTGGCTCTCCCATATTACATCACATACTTTAAAAACAATCCATGATTGTTTATTTTAGATTTGTTATAAATTCACTTTAAAGGTTTTGTATTATAATAAATACTTCTTTGAAACCAAAGTTTTCTTGTACTTGGCATATTGTCTAAGTTAGTGTTTTCCAATCCTATTCGATAGTGATACATTCCTCTCTTAGTTTATTTTGAAATATATTATTTCTTCTTCACTAGACATAAAAAAGCCATTTTTCATTTAACCTTTCATGTATTGTTAGCTTTTGATATGTTTTGATATGTTCTTGTATTCGTACAATAGATTATAAGATGTACATAAGTATTACAATAATACTAGATAAGAAAAAATAGTAGGGATAATAACACAGGCTAATACAAAGTGATATTTCTCCTAAATTACCTGATATTTTGGGTAATAGTGTTAAATAAATTTTCCTCATTTTCGCAAAAGAAATTAAGGAATTTATGGGTTCTGTTCTTGGTTTTAGCCTATTTTATATGCCATTCTGCGCAAATCAGTTTTTAACTGATGAGGAACCTTAATTAATGGGTTATCGAGACTCGTCACAGGGCTGTGAGTAAAATGCTCACTGACACTGCGAGTATATGGCGTCTTGAAGCTTTATTAATCAATTTAACTTACTCATTCTTTATATCGTTTTCAACGTGACCAGAACCCACCTTGCTTGTTTACCGGTCTCTCTTGCACCTGCCATGCCACCTACTTTGCTAGTAAAGCCATTATTAAAGTAATAGATCATTCAATTTATTAATTTCTATATCACAGGAGTCAAGTATTTTATTGAATCTCCTGTGCAACAACAATCTTCATCCGATCGATGGAACCTGTTGTCAGTCTTCACCTAATGTAACCGCTATTCAGATTGTTGTGTTTCTTCTTGGCCTTAGTTGGTAAGTAAACATTTTTGAACTACAGTACTTCAAACCTAACTGACATTTGATGGCATGTGATGCACCACCATTATTCTTTTTTTTTTTTTTTTATTACTCTTAACTTTCCTCAAAGATGAGTTTTTTCTCTTGTCCTGTGTGTAACCTTGCTTTAATCGAAATTCTTTCAACAATGGTAGAGCCCCAACTTTGGTTATTGACTCCAGATTAGAGGAAATCGTCTCAATTCAAATTTTGGGGACTAAATTTTGAACACGTAAAGTGTATTGGTCTCTCCTTTATTTATCTGTCTAGCCCACAAGTTCTCAACCAATGGGCCATGGGTCACTGCTGGGCCACTGAAATATTTCTAGGTGGGCCACAAATCTATTGAAATTGCAAGAGTTATTGACAAATTTAGTTTCATTTGTGTCACCCTAGTTAAATTTTGATTGTAGTAAAACTAAACGATGCTGCTGTTGTTAGCTGCAGAGTGGTAATTATTCATTCAGTGAGTGACTGCATTGTGAGAAGATTTTTTTTTTTTTTGTAGTTTACCCTGGCTTGGGAAGGTGAATGGGCCACAAAATTTTGGTGCAACAAAAATGGGCCACGATAAGGAAAAGGTTGAGAACCACTGGTCTAGCAAAATGCCCATCAAGTTATGTTAAATTTCACTTCAATTACCACCATTACCATTAAAAATTCTTTATCGGACTCAGGAAATATGATTCAGACTCCAATATCAAACCTGTAACTGTGTAACCTTTTTTTATGAACAATAACAATATTTTTCAGTATTGTGGGAGCAATCACCATGACTTACCTCAAATGGAGAATCTTGAAGCACCCTCCGCCTGATATTGAGTTAGGAGATGTCGCACAAAACGGATCTGTTGTTGAAAGTGCAGAAAAATTATTGCCGAAAGATACAAAAGAAATCGCTGCGACAAAGAAAACAAAAGAAAACACTAAATTTGATGATACATTGGAATTAATTATAGCATTATCAAAGTTCACAATTATTATGATGTATTTTTATATCTGTGATAGGTAGGTGATTCATGATTATAAATTGTTTTTTGTGTGCCTGACCTTTCATCCTTAAAAATGCAATTCCAAATTTATCCTCAATTGAAGGAATCAATGAAATAATGAATTGATTGTACAATTTTAATTCATATAACTCAAAAATAGTCTTTGCTGTCGACACAGGTGTTATGCATGCTTGTTAAGTTATTTTCTTTGAACATGTAATAGGCTTGTGAATTGTTTTGCTGAGTTGTTGTTGTTGCAGTGAAAAACTCTTAACTCTAATGGACAAATTGATTTTGAACTTACTCAATTCATTACTTATAAATGAGGAAGCTGCTAAAACGCTTTTGCTTGAAAAGTTTTTAATATCATCTTAAGTCTCATATTTCACCGATATTTCACCCCAAATTTTGCAGATTTGCATAATTCTATTGGTGAGAATTTCATTTGATATTCATTGCAACTCTTTTTGAAATCTGGCTAAAATTTATCTGATATTGTGACGGCCACAATTTCATCATTACTCTCTTGTATATTATAACAATTCATGAGTATTTATTATTGTATTCCCCATTTTTTACCGTCATCTTTTTTCTATCAACAGAACAAATATCTTTATGAAGGGCAACAAACATTTTACAAATGCAAGATTTTTTCTTCCATTGCTTTATATAAGTTTGTTGGGTTTATTCGGAATAATTTCAACATCACAAACAGCTTTATTAAATCGTGATCAAACAGATGAATGGAAGGGATGGATGCAACTCATCATATTAATTTATCACATGTCTGGAGCTTCTGTGGTAAGTAGTGTTCTAGGGATGCCTATATCTTACTAGTTTGATATTGTACACATCTGGGTACACCCGTAGTGTGTGTACCAGGTTAGGGTTAGGCCATGATTTAATATCTATTTTTTTTATTTTAGTTCTATTACAAGTACAGGGACTATCTGTGTTAGCCAAGTGAATATGCCCCCTGCCTATAGGCTTCTGTCCCTTTACACAACTTGATGTGGAGTAGGCGAACAAAATTATTTACCTCCATATTGGTACACATAATTGTGGAGCGCCCGAATCTGTGTGATAATTTATTTTTATTTAGAGCGAAGGCCCCAGGTCTATGTTGCAGCAGAAGTATGCTATTTCAGGAATGTTACAAAACATACTTCTTATATCTGCTATGTAACGTTACTCTGTGTCGAAAGACTGTTTAAAAAAAACGACTGCTGATTGCTTGCTGTACCTAGTTTTTTCATTTGACTTTTAACTTGGGAAAAATACATACCTATGATCTTATTTTGAAATATTTTCCTCTGAGCAGTTATTTCTCAACCTGGATGATTTTAATGATAAATCTCAAACCTAATAAACATGCTAAGAAATATTAATCCTGTCTAATGACACCTATACAATCTATAATGACATGTTGTTTCTGTCTTAACTTGAAACTTACTACGGTAATATATGTTAAGTTTGTCTAATCTACACATCGTTAATTAGTACCCAGACCAAATTACTGTTGTCAATCCTATATTCGCCACTGCTGTGCTGAATTTGAATTGATCCGCAGGTGGCCAATTTAAATTTTGGTGCGGCATTTTTATTATTGTTTTAGGGCAAAGAGCTGAAAATAGTCAGCTAATTCAATAATAACCTTAATTATTAGGTAAACTAGGTATTAACTAATTTTTTTGCTAATTACATCCACTGTGATGAATTTGTTACAGATCAGTGAAACGTCAGGAGATAATTTTTTTTAGATGCCTATTAAATAATATTAATATTATAGTGTTGCATTTGAGTTCAATAAATTGCTATCATGATACCAGTTAACCGTTGCATCTGTGCCATAAGAGGGCCTGAAAGCCATAGCACATGGTATATACTAAGTTACTCAAATATTCCTCTATTCCAGTTATTCATCCAGAATTACAATTCCCTAATTATAAAATTATTATTTTCCAGAATGTACCAATCTACATGCACATAAGGATACTTGTTGCAATGTATCTATTCATGACAGGATATGGACATTTCTCATATTTCTGGCATAAAGGAGACTATAGTCTATACAGAGTATTAAATGTAAGTAGGCCTATATTTCATGAATGATGCTCAGCTGAGATTATTCTTCTTTTATATGATGACGAATGCACTTGAGATAAATGTTTTGGTCTGTTAATAAGAATAGTATGGAAATTTTGATAATTTGATGTTCTGTAATTCATTCTCCCTTTTTAGCTTTATTACATTCTTCAGCACAGTCATACGTGATCTATTACGGAGCATTTATACACAGTCACAATTTTAATTTTGAAATAGCTATCTCAATTATTTGAATCCATTAGTCAATTTTGTTTTTCAAATTTTTTAGTAGAAACTTATTGGAGAAATATTTTAAAGATTCTCATCAGTTATATCAGTTGTTTCGAGTGCATTGCTAAATTTCAATTCTTTCCCCCAAACAAGTATTTCTTATCTGCCTGTATTTAAAACTCGACATAAAATTGTCAAATCTGTTAAACTTAACATTTAGAGAGAACAACGTCTAACAATATTGTAATTCAGTCATGTTGTGTTATGATACTCACATGGCGCAATGTAAAAGATGTGTGTATAATGAAAAAAAAACTATTCTTCAACATGATTTAGTGTTGATAATGCGGCATGATATGTGATGAGTAAATGTGCCATAAGTTTGGGAACCTCTGACTTCATTTTACTGCATCTGTGTACAGGTTGTCTTCCGAATCAATCTTCTCACTGTATCATTATGTTTGGTGATGGATCGTTCTTATCAATTTTACTATTTTGTACCATTGTGTACATTTTGGTTCGTCATCTTGTATATTTCTATGACGATATGGCCAAGAGCGAACATCAAAATGCAGACAGCTACTACAAATGGAACAATACCAGGTAATACAAGATTAGTCTATGATATTTTATGATTAAAGCAATATTATACAAGGTTTTTTGTGTATAAGGAAGCTATGGTCGTTTCCTCGAGCCTCGATTTATTGCCGTAACAATAACCAATCAGCAATAAGTCAACGATGACGTAATAATAATTTCAATTTGGCCGGTCGCCCAGATACTTCTTTGGTTCAGACAGATATTCAATAATGGTAACTCTTCATAACAGTCTCAAAATAAGAGTTTGAAATTTTTCAATGGTAAAGTATAGAGAAAATTTTTCAGGGGTTCCCCGCCCATTGATGTGCACTGATCTACTTTTTTTTTGAAGAAGCCATAGGCAATCTTGTTTTCCGGATTCTATACAAATTATTACACAGACGCGGGGGTGGTGAAACTTGGATTTGAACCTGAGATATTTATCTGTTCTAGTCATATTTATTTTTTTGTCAATACAATCAAGATATCACCAATTTTGTTATGAGATATAGCAATTTCAATGTAATATTACAGCTAAAATTTTGTTCCATATAATACCAAGTTTATTAGTTCCAACTCTTGGGTTCAAAGTATTAATCCAAGAAAATAATAGTAGGCTACACTGCCTACACATATCATTGATAGAATATGTAACTAGTCACTATTTCATTTTAGAAGGATATAGAATAGAGAGGTGGTAGGAAGTATGTGCCTGAGCTTTATAATCAAAACATTATTACATAGATTTCCTGTATTAGAATTCCCATTCTATTCAGATACCTAATTGCATGATCTATTTTTCAGGAAACTGCCAATGCATTATATTTTTGTACTATGTACCGGTATACTAATCTATACCTGTGGGCTGTGTATGCCATTTAATTGACTATACCTGTGGGATGTGGATGCCATTTAATTGAACAGACTATTATACATATCTTATTAAATAGGATTATTTTTTGTTAATGCAAAATATAATAATTTATGATGCTACAAATGTGAAAACCTGAATTAAGTGACAATAACTTACATCTTAAATAGGAATAATATAGAATTTATTAATTTGAAGATTGTGATTGTACACAGTTTATATTTATGTTCAGACCAATTTGGCTTATTTACTTCACACAACTAAAAAACGAATCAATACAGTATTAACCTTTTTATCATAGAAAGCGATCGTTAGGAAATTACAGTGATATGATATTCCCAGGGTTGTCCAAAACAAATTGAACATTTGAAAACATTCGAATATCAAAGTATTCGAATACCTTTTTGGCTGATTTTCGAATAATTCCGAATAGTAGCCACTCTTCGCCGTCAGCGAGGTGTTTTACTTCTAAGTGAAATCCTTCATACGATTTTTGGCGCTTTGTAACGTATTGTAATCACGATGAAATAGAATTGGCACTTTAATTATTTGTGATATTCTGTGCGAGCGTGCGCCTCATACTGTTGCATGATTGGCATTGCCGCTATTATCTTGCAAGGTTCTAATTTATACATTGATTTCCTTCACGTCGAAAAACTTAAAATTATTTAAAGTCACAATTGTTACAACACCCAATAAATTAGTCGGAATTATTAGAAAATATAGTTTATACTTTTTTTGCTTTTCGGCAACCGATTTTGATAATAATAGTTAGAAGTATCGACTTTTTACTAGGATCATTTTCTGTTGCACAAAATATTTAGATACCAGCAATTAAAATGCCTTGCCGTTTTATTTTAATTCTGTTTAACATAACCCGTGATTGCGTCAACTTACGAAAAAAATAAAAGCATTGCTATCGTATATATATTAAAATATCACAGTAATCTGTGGACATAAAATGTGTGGGAAACTACCCATTATAATTGATTCTTGATTCGAAGTTTTGTACTGAAAGTTTTGTTACTGAAATATGAAAAGCAATACTACTCTGAAATATCAGGCTATCTGCGGACATAAAATGTCTGGTAAATAGGCAGGTTGTAGATAACAGTTATTCCATTGTTTATTGTATGCAGTTGATTCATGCCCTAAAATATGCTTTTTACTTGAATTTATTTTTGAATGTATTCGAAATTTCATATTCGGAAATAATGATTTCGAATGTATTCGAAATAGTGAACTATTCGGTATTGGCCATCCCTGGCATATTCCATATTCGGAAATATTATTTTAGAATAACGGATTATCTATTTTGTTTTCCATCGATACCATGCATCTATGGCCAATATTGAACACAGAGCAATTCTGTTTCACATTTATGAGTTCTACTTCTTCTAGTTTTCAGTGAAGATTTGAGAAATATGTATTGTTCTTTTCATTCTATAATATCAGATTTCAACCAACTTTGTCTGGATATATTCAGATATTTATGAGCATGATGGTGTAGTGTTTAAAGCTTATACTTAATAACTGCATTGGCTTTGTAGGTTGCATATCTCGATGTCATGTCCAATATGTACCACTTTACTCAGTATTTAATGATTTAGGTAGGTGATGATTCCGGTCTTTCCAAAAAAGTAACTCTTTACTCATTGTTAAATATCGGTGGCTCCTTGTCCAGGTTTTTAATGAAAATCCTCAAAAATGTAGGCGCAATTATTATCAATTTAATATTACAAATTATAATTTTTTTAGCAGAACCTTCATCTAATGGACCAGAAAAAGATTATCCATTGCGAAATTTCAACTTGAGATCACCATACTCCATCATGTTTTTCAAACTAGTGATGCTGTTTCTTGTCATAAGTGTTCTTTTCGTGTCTCAGGTTTGTTCAATTATTTTTTTTTCAGCCAAGAAATATTATTTTCTAGTCAGATGAATCTACTTTTAAGCTGTGATTCTTATGCAATTACTTTTTAACAAGAAAATTTTACTTCTTTGTTACTTTTTTAAATTGGTTTGGATTAATTACTTACAACTCATATTGTAACCTGAGAATTTTATTGAAATTATTCTCTATGGAATAGTGCAACCTAACAGAAAATATCCTGTTATGATAATTAAACCTAATGGTGGGTGAAGGTTCTCCATTTATCAAACCGCTAGTCTTTCAGATCTTATTGCTAAATTATCGATAAAAATCGCTTTTCTTTGAAACTAATGAACCAGTCGATTCCAAATATTTAGTACTCAGATATGGAAGAAGTCGCTACAAGGCTGTTATTTTATACGGCCCTATATTTCACTAAAATTTTGCTATTTTATTTTATTCAAAAGGGAAGACTTTTATTTTCTATTGGGTGACAACCTTCATATTGCTTGATACCAATCATTTAGGCAAACTCACTGTACTGATACTGTTTTGTAACCTTTGTGTATAGATATCCGAGCATTGGTCTCTTGTTAAGTACAGTTTGTTATAAATACCAGTAGTTACTATTACTTAAGCTACCTTACTTAGCAATATATTATTTTCAACAACAATATTTTTAGAGTTACTTTGAGGCGATCTTCTCCTGGTGGCCTGCTATACGTTTGTTTGAGCTTCCAACAGGATCAGTACGAGAGTGGTGGTTTAGGTGTCAGTTGGACAGATATGCAATGCTTCATGGAGCTGTTCTCTGCTTTATTTATATCATTATGAAAAAGTAAGTAATGTCTCAATTTCAAATTATGTAGTCCCTATTTTGATATATTTAAAATACTAATATAGGAAAATATGCGAATAATTGTTACTCTGTATATTGCATATAAGCTGACCCTATGGAAACGGCTATTAACGGTGAATTTATATAAATTGGCATATATGAGCCGGCCCCACAAATCGTAATACACAGTACACACTCATCACAGCAAATGGTTGCAAAAGAAAATTCATGAAAATGATAATTTTTTTTTCAGTGCTATCAGTTATGCAGTTTTAGTTACGCACGTATATGTCGACATTTTGTTTTTAAATAAGCTCATGTCGAAAATCCTTACAAACAACTTACAAGATTTTTTAATTTAAAAATAATTCTATTATCAGTATCTATAATTGTAGGCTATGAACTATTTTAGCTTATACTAAGGAAATTCTAATTTTTTTGAAGTCCTGTTTTGCAAAGCAAATATTTCTGTATTACATGCTAACATTATCATATCAAATATAATATTATATTAAAATTTCCTCATTTCCCATATGAAGATATAAATACCCATCATGTGATGTAATTAATCTTCACATTATGCAGCAGTTTAGCAGTTTATTGGCTACCCTGTCATTTAGTTTGGCTACCTGTGGTCCTAAATAGTTTGAATTAAATTAACTCAATTATGACTTTTTTTATTTTCCAGATTGTCTGTGCTGGATGATTCGAAGCAAGGATGTTTGTTATCAACTAAAGCATCTTTCATCACAATGACTTTATCAATCGGAATAGTTGTCGTAAGTTTTCATCCTTTAATTTGATTTTGCACACAGATTTTTGGGGCAACATTGCTAACGTTCAAACTTGAAATTATTATTTGTTTTGGCTAATATTTGCATATTCGTTATTTCTTTTTAAAGTACCTTACTAACAAGGATTTTTTTTTCCGAAATTTTCAGTAATGTGGAATATATTACCCCATAGATCAGAGGTGGCAACCTACGGCCCGCGCATGATAATCCCGCCCGCGACGCTTCACTGAATTATAGTAATAAATTATAGCTGTTTTTTTTATTATATTCTTTACGCAAAAGAATTTACGTGCAGACTAAATCATATTATAACCTAACAAGTATATATTTCACAATTACTTGTTTAATAAGCCTATAATTTAAACAAATGGCAACAAAATGCAAAAAAGTTGATGCCAAGTGCAAATGGTTTATTAATGGCGCAAAAAATATATTCAAATTGTCAGTCTTCGCGCGATGCTTAAAATTTAACTTTTGATCTGTGTGATAAAATGTGATTCATCGGTCATCTATTCGATTTTTAACTTTCCAAAAATATGTGCGGTCCACCAATGACTTGCAACCTTTAATTTTGGCCCGCGACGACAAAAGGTTGCCGACCCCTGCCATAGATGCTTTCTCCAGTATATTAACTCAAATTTCTTCAAGTCTCACTGCGATGGTATTTAATGTGTAATGCATCACAAATCATAATGGGTCAGTTGCTTGGAATTTCAGTGATCTCCCATAAATTTGCTCGAAAGATCTGTCTCCTTTACTTCCGAGTGAGCGCGTGTATCCTTGCTCTTAGCAAATAGCAAATTCTCTTAAAATAAATATCTACCGGTATATAATATTTTCATCTAATAATGAATTTTTTTTAGTGATTTGGTTGTAAAGATGTTTTAAACGTAAATATGAATTATCACTCATCAGTTGTTAGTTTCATTTGAGCAAGTACAATCAGATAATAGAATTTTGTAATTTATGATTGATTTTATGTATTTCAGACTTATACAGTTTGGGCAGCACAATGTACTGATAAGTTTACATGCAACAGAATCCATTCCTATGCATCAATATTGCCTGTAAGTACCTGCTTAAATGAGTGGAAATTTTTTATTTTAGTTCATGTATTGATCTGTATGCGAAAACACAACTGGTATTCATAAATTTGAAAGTTGTAAATAATGAAAGTTTAAATTTTTTTGCATTAACTGAGTGGAAATTTTGTATGTTAGTTCATGTATTGCTTTGTATGCGAAAATACATGAAAGTTATAAATAATGAAAGTTTCGAATTTTTTTTGTCATTAATGAACCGCCTTTTTCGTATTTATTGTATAATTTGCATTAAATTCACACTTGGAATATGGAAAAAAGTTGAGAATTTATATAGCTTGAATAATCAATTAATTCCCAACTACTGAAGGAATTTAAATTTTTATGCTATTGATACCTAAGCAATAGATCTGGGTCTAGCATGAACCCACTTCGAATTTAAATCGGCATGTCAATTTAAATCCCTCATGCATTCTAAGTTGCTTTTATAGTTTGCATAATTTATTGCATAATTTGCGTAAAATTTACACTCAGATATTCAAAAATGGTTGAGAATTTATATGGCTTGAATAATCAATTAATGTCCACCCAACTACTAAAGGAATGCGAATTTTTATCCTATTAATATCTATCCGGAGCAATAGATCTGGGACCTGGGTCTAGATTAGACCCATTTGAATTTGGCATAATTATACCAATTCAAATACTATATTCATCCATAGTTGCTCTTATAGTTCACTTATAGACTTCTTGTTTTCAGATAACTGCTTTCATCATCATTAGAAATGTACCTGGTTATCTAAGAAGTGGATACAGTGCATTTTTTGCTTGGTTCGGCAAAATATCATTGGAGGTAGGATTAGTACACATATTTTGTAAAGTTTGCAGTAAAAAATGGGGATGTTTTAGTTCAGGGATTATAAAAAAGCGGGGCTCTTAGCCCACCTACGGGATCTGAAATAACTGATGTAAACATATTTGAAAGCAAAACTATGTTTTATTATACAAGGGCATATTTTATTTTGAATAAGTTTTTGAAAAATACTGATATACTTTACCCAACTAACAAATTAACTAACCATATTGTCAGCTTATTGTATTCCCCTTACACAGGATATCATGGTTTTATCTATATTTGGCTGGATTAAAAATCTGCTTGTCGAAATAATTATGGAGAGTTATATTTTCCACAGAATAGAAATGTAATTCACTGCAAATACTTTAGTTTCCAGTATCATAACCCATTCCCAAATTAATATTTTTCAGCTTTTTATCGGACAATATCACATTTGGTTAGCAGCCGACACAAAAGGAATGCTCGTTCTCATATCACCGGAGTGGCCGACATTAAATCTTGTCATTACATCATTTATTTTTGTATGCATCGCACATGAAATCAATCTAATCACTGGTATTTTAACAAAACACGCACTTGGTTCACCAAAAGATGAGGTTATGAAAGTTCTAATACGATTAGCGGTATTTGTATCATCCATATGTGCAATATCATTTATTAATAATACATTTAACCCCCCTACTTTCGGTGGTACGTGAAGAAGTTTATGTCGGAGAGCAACACTACTCATCTCAGCAGTGCATATGGCAGTGGTTTTCAAACTCTTTACACCGCCCCCTCTTTTTAGAATTTGTCAATTCTCGCACCCCACCCTCAAAAATAACCAACTAATAATAAACTATAAATAACAGATAGTAAGGTGGAAGTATATTTTATTCAAAAGACACATTGAAAATATGCGGATGGAACGCAGATTTGAGCACTGTATCTGTTATTGAAAAGAAAATTTGATGACCACTTCCGGTTTCCTCTGGATGGGAAATTTCTCATGCTTAAGACCCACTGATTCAAGTTCATATTCGGTTGAAAAAAAAAACTTATAATAATATATTACTGTGAATAGTGGTGATTTTACTTATTTTTTAAAGAGATTGTAAACTGTTTTTTTTTTCATATGAATTTGTTGTTTACATGCTGAAGACAAAGTTAATAATATTCACTATTAACAATAGGCTAATATTTAACAGTTGTACTTGAGTGTTTTTATGTTTTTTTTTTATTTTTTCAATTCGTATCAACTATAAAGAAACTATAGCATTTTCTTTATTCGATCAGAAATTTTATTTCGCGATTTTACATTATTTTTACTTTTTCGAATTTTATACACAAACAGTGTGCTTAGATTATCTCGTAGTTTATATTCTTTCATAAATGTTTTGTGCTCGACATTATTTGAATTAAGTTGAAATGTTACATATTATTTTCATTCTATGGTTCGCGATTTGGAGCCACAGTGTACTCAAACTGAGACTCCAGCTTCATAGATAGCCATTGATGTTTCGAGACTGTAAGAATGTTTTGGCATTGTACCCACTATGTAAAAAATTTTGATTGAGAAACATTTACACTTTGAAGATTTTTTATCAATTCAATTTTGGGAAACATCAATTGGGTTGTTTCAAGATTTTTACGCCAACTTCTGGCTCCAAAAACAAGACTGGCAAACCATCTAAATATCATAGTATCCAGTTCAAAGTGCCCAAACCTACCCAAAAATTGAAATTTTGAACTCGCTGTATCAAAACCATTATCGGTAATCTATTTGCAAAAAAACTATTTATCCGCCTTTCATACCATAACATAAATATTTCATTTCAAAAGATTACAGTAACTGTAAAAATTAATAAACCAAATACGATTTTACATTATATTTTGTCTCACCTGATTTTTAAAATTTTGACATACATCTGACAACTACATCCAGATTGTTTTTCTGTAATAATTAAGTAGAAATTGTCAAATAAGAAGCCATTGTTTTAATTTTTGCAGCTAGGGAGACAATTCACTTTTTATTGTTCTAGTTTCCTTGCACAAAAATAAATTTTTTCACTGAAGGAAGATGTGCAGTAGTAATTGCACTGTAATCACTAGTAATGTTGTTAATTTATGTTTGTATCGATAACGCTGTTTTTATTATTCATATTTTATTTAATATTGCATTGAATTGTTACTTTAACTAGGTGTATTTGATTATATACAGCTATTATTAAACAGCTCGTATTTACAGGCTTTTTGTCTATTTTTGCATTGTCATATGATTAATTGATGGTTTTCAACGGATATTCATTTTTCTAGTTAATTACATATATACTTCTTATATATTCGATGTATTGTGTTCAAAATTATTACTGAATAGTGATATCAGAACAAGCGAATGTATTTTTGTCACTCATTAGACTTACCTTCAAGAATTAATATTTTTTACCAGAAAGAACTTGAAGTGTCGGTATGAAAACATTTGGCTGCTTATCATCAGTCAATCAATTCTAATTACTATGTTGTCTCATTGTATCATGAACAGCCAATATATTTATAATTACTTAATTTTTGTCTGGTCAGAAAGTGCCACAAGCGCACTGAAGCTCCCCTATAAAATTATCTCTTTTTATTATGAAAAGTTATAATAATTATAATTATCTAATTGAACCGGGTTAATTAATTGGTTACTTTTTCTCTGCCATAAAGCACCACAAGCGCACTCGAAACTCATCTATTAAATTGTCCCACTGTTTTTATGAATAGCCAAGTAATTGTAATCACCTAATTGATCTGTGTTAATTAATTATTTGACTTTGCCCTGGCCAGGAAGCACTACAATTGAAACTATTAAACTGTTTCACTGTTTTCATAAACGCTCCAATAATTTTAACATCTTAATTAATTGATTAATTTTTGCCTTCTTAAATTGGGAATGAATAATAGAAGTAATAATTTCAAATCATATGTGAGATTCAATGTGTCAGTCGCACCACTGTAATTCCATTAATAGCGGAATGACTCAATTCAGTATTTAATAATACGGTACAAAATCAGAAATTTTTTTTTATAATGTATCCGTTAAGATAGTCTTATCTACCACTGAAAGTTCTAATTGATCCTGTATCAGTTGGGGAGCTTAATGACAAGAAATTAAAAAAAACTACACCCTAAGTGAAAATATCATCTACTTTTAAAATTCTTACTTATTAAACATATCTACAGGAAAAGTGTTTCCATATGATGTAAAAAGTGTTCCCATAAATTCAAATAAAACAGCAAAATCAGGTCTAATGAGACTCCAAAGAAATTTGAAAAAAAATAAGGCATTTCTCCCATCTTGAGAGTAAAGAAGTAATTTTTTTCTTAACAACAGCAACAAGCAAGCCAACAGCATCAACAACAATTTAGCAAAACAGTCCATAGGTCCCCTTCATATTGTGTCCAATACCCATTTGAGCTCTCTCGTCTCTTTTTCAACAGATTCATCAGAAAGTAATATTGTTAGTAATGTTTTTTTCATAAATATTTACTTTGGTAAAGATCACATGGAATTTGGTATCATTTTTCTCAAGCATGATATCTAGTTTCACCAATATTTTTCGTTTTCGATCAATGCTGTGAATACCTTTTATAATCACCAAATGCTTTTTCATTATTAGCTGGGTGTGGTGTGCACAGATAAATGAAATATATTATTTCTTCACCAATAGCAGTCTTTGCTTGAACACAGTGTGGAAATTATCACTGTATGTGAGAGCATGGTCATGGTAAAATAAGAAAAATTATGATGAATTTTCAAGTGTTTTTGGATGATTTCATTAGTTTTTTTTATTGCTTCTATCAGTTTTTCAGTAGTTTAACTGTGTATTGCTTTCATATAGTGTGCATACTCGTTGAAAATGAACATGCAGACTCTTATGTGTTCGAAAGAGATTTACCGGTATATGATCAAAATCTTTGAATATGTTATGTTAGGTAACTGTATTTCCAATGTTTTCTTTACTTACAGATTCATATTTATAAATTGTTTCAGCAACAAGAACAAATTAATGATAAAGTATCGTTAAAGTGAAAAAACAATAGTCAAATATAGTTTATATTTTCAAGGGTTATCTTGATTAGAAAAAGTTTTATTTGGTATCACTTATTTCGCTATTATTAGATTTTTCTAAAAAAAATCCTGGAATTTGTTGAATTCATTATTCTATGCATTGTACAATCTTTATCAATTCAATGTGATACATACATCTTTGATTTCGTGATTTTCTACCTTCATAATTTTTCATCGTTTTTATTAGCACAATGTGTCTGTCTGTATGTATAATCTGGATAAAGAAATTAAAATATAAGCTAGTGGCTTCGTAATGTGTATTTTTATTGTGTTCCAATGTGGGAATAGTATTAAAATGTAAATCAGCTTTGAGGCATGTAGGATTATTTTACATGAATAGTCCTGTTATTGTTATTATATTGCTTAATTAAAAGTTTTGCATTTTTGCACAATTGATAATACATGTATAATATGACTAAAAAATGAATAGCATTTCACTTTTGTATAAACTGAGAGTTTCCCATTCGCATTGACATTAACTTTTCCAGTGGATTGCATTTATCACATCGATAATAATTTAGAAAATTACGACTTATCTTGTAAACTTTTATATTTGAGAATAAACAAAAATATGCATTTAATAGCTTGCTTTTGTCCCACTCCTATTAGAATTTGTTTGTTTCAATTATGGTTTAATGTTAATCCATATTCAGACTTTTTGAGCGCTTTTCCAACTTTAGGTCAACAGAGCTTCAACGTTCTTTTTGTACAACACTACTCTGAATGAATGATTGGTTAGATGGCAGGGTTTATGACTCTGAAAGGAATTGGCCGAACCTACCTCCATCCAGGCACACGTAGTACGAATAGTTTATTTACAAATTGACAGGCTTTTTACTTGCGATTTTTCTGATACCTCGGCATCTGATTAATCTCTCAATTCCATAATAATATCAACAAATAAGTGTGTTAAGTGGAGGCCAAAATGAACATGTTATTAAATGACTTCGCAAACAGGGTGGATGGAGCGATAAATGAGCATATGTCAGAATATTAGAAAGATAGATACCGACAAATGTGCAGCAGCAGTGGATCGATGTGATTGTTAATAGTGCTTGTGGGAGCTTTCCAACTACCTATCATATTTGCTTTTAGGTGGGGGATTACGACCTTGCCTATAGTAGAGATTTTTCTTTATTATTGTAGACAATGTTGAACTGGTTAGGACGATCTTCATAAGAACTTAGGTCGGTATGTTTGCAAAGAAGGTTCCTTCCTATTTGTAATCTCCACCTCTGTCCAATATGTCATCATTTATTGCAATGGATGTGACATACTTAATAAATTAATAGTTTCTAAAATTTTAATGCATTTTGTAGATGATATATTATATCTATCGACGATCGTTGGTGATTATAAATAATGTCTTGCAACACAATATCAATTTACAATCCTGGTAATTGTTACTAAAATCACTGTAAAATCATGTCACGCAAAGTAAGAGATTCGAAAACAGACCAGCGGAGTCTGACACAAAGTATTGAACGCTTGTGTACAATTCACTTGGAGAGAAATGTTTCAAGAGAAGCAAAGTATTGCAAACCAAAAGTTCCACTCAGCAAGCTTCTGAAGCCAATGAAAAAGGCTGCGTATGATGCACTTTTTGTCAGGTAATTATTTTTGGTGCAAAGATTGGCCCTTCGAATGGCTTGCTTATTCCGTGGGTTCGTGGTTTATCAATTTGATTATAAAGTATTTATTTGTAACAAGCTTCATTAGTCCCAATATGCATCAAATATAATCCATTTTCTAATCCTTTGTTTGCTGTATCTGACCTTGAAATTAGGGATTAAATGTTGCCTGAACAACTATAAAGTCTTTGTGTGCCAGTTCAGAAAATTCTGTTTGCTATTAACCTCTTGTATATGACTAGTATTCTTCGCTTTCTTATCAACTACTAATGAATAGATAAAAATAATTCTATTTGAACCCCGTCACCGAAACAAAAAAATTGCAATATAAGTGGAAAAACAAATGATGACATACTATATAATCAGGCTTCAAGCTTGGGAGCATACAGTCTGATCCCAAAATGTATATGTTTGATATTTTCGTTATAGGAGAAAGAAAGACGTCATGACTTTCACTGAAGATCTTTTATCATCTGATCAATGGAATGAAGAAAGTATTGTGAGTGCTGTAGCATTTAGAATGAGAATGGATCAAAGAAGGCATCATGATGCAGACAGATTAGAGGAACATACTGACAAATTATTGGCTGGTAAATATAGAAGATTATTTTGACACGTTTGTTGCTACTAAATTGGTACCCCTATATCCAAGTAGCTACCTGTACTTAGGCTTTTTTGAGGCAAAGTTGTAAAATGAGTTATAAAATCTAGAATTCGGGATATATTTAGAATACACATGGATAAAATTCACCATCAATGCCTGGCCATTATTGAGTTAGTTTGTAGAGCATCGGTTCCCAACCAGGGGCCCTTGTCTCCCCAAAGGGGGCCATTAATAGTTTGAGGGGGGGGGGGGCACAATGCTGGGCACAAAACTGAATTTACCCTCCTCTTGACAATAAGACTTCCCGTTCCTAGTTTCATCACTGAATGAGGTCATTTCACAAGGTCTCTGGACATTAATGAGCATGAATTGTTTAAACTTAATGGGATTTGAAATCTACCAATCAAAATACCACTGGAATGATAAACAGGGGGGACATGAGTGGTAAAAGCCTTCAGAAGGAGGCGACGAGCCATAAAGGATTGGGAACCACTGTTCTATTGATTGTTTTAAAACACTAATATCACATTTTAGCTGAAGCAAATGAACACAGAAGCTCTATCAGATTTCTTCTAAGTCTCGCTGATACAAGAAATTCTCCGAATAAACACTGTGATATAAAGAAGAGGAGAAAAGCACCAACACGAGAGGGAAATTAAAAAATTTGGAAAATTAAAAGGATCTTTATATCATGGAGATTATCCATACCATTTATTTCAACAGTCATACACACTTTATCCAGAGTAAGAAATCTTTTTTAGTCCACTCGAAAATTTGAAAGATTATTTACCAAGACTAAATTTATAGATTGTTTTGCTAAATTGTTGTTGTTGGTACCGTGGTTTTTGTTGGACATCCACAATTAATGGACATTCGAATTTTATTTTGATCAATATAGGGCCTACTATTTGTCCAAATTTATGTTATTTTTGTAGCTAACAGGCACACCCTTATATTACATTTGGTACTACTTATTTTAACAGTTCGCTATTATTTCACTGACAATTCGGTATGTATTAGTTTATGTTTAAATTAAATTTTGTGACATTGCAGTGACCATATTAATCATTTGACCTTTGTGTCCATAAATGTATTATGGATTGTCCTCTTGTTTTAAATTGTTATCTGATTTAACACTGAGTTCTTTTTTTCAGTTGGTATTCCACAAATATTAATATCGATCAACCATTATTATATCCTGAGAGGAGTCAGAATACCAATCAAGATATGTTTTATGCAAAAGAATATTTTCTTCCCGATAAATTAGGTAAGGTAAAACAAAATTGGTAGTATGCTTCTTGCTTCGTTTTATTGAAATTCAACTTGAAATCGACCGTTATCTAAAAATGATGTCCAAGAATTGTATCATCGTTCTGGTATATGGTCAGTTTTAAATCTGGGCCAAATGATTCAAGTTCGTATTCCAAACAGGATTTATGCTAAGTTCTAGGTTAGGATAGATAAAATACTCGGTTCAGTTTTCTCAAACTTCCTTATTTGTGACCCCTGCCCTCACCCCTCCCCCCCCCCTCCTTTCTAAAGATTCGCTTGTGGTCTCCTGCTGTTATAATAAAATACCCGATTTGCTTTTAATGCATTTCCATAAATTATCTTCGTGCAGCATTCAATATTAAAAACCTTTACAATTGAAAGTAATAAAAAAATGCATTTCAGACAAAGATTTCCACAAATCATTGTCAATTTATGGTACTTTGAATTACGGCGCGGCACTTTCAATGCATTTTATTATATAATCTTTTGGCGACGTTTAATAATAAAAACAATTGAAAAAGAAAGTTAGATAATAAATGCATTTCAGATTTCTGCAATTCATATTCAATTTTCTGTACTTCAAATTAAGTTAGCTGTCACGAATGGTATCTATTTGCTAATAGCCCCCCATAGAACCACTATGTAACACCCTAGGGGGCCGAGGGCCAAGATTGAGAAACTCTGCTTTGGGTTGGAGTAAGCGCATAAAGAGATCGCGACTATGGATCTTCAAACTTACGGAATGACTGTTATTTTCCTGGTTAACAGAAAAAATGGCATCTCATCGGATATCGATTGATGAGGAAGTTAATCTAATCTGGGTGTTTTCAAATGTTGAGTAAAATAAATTAAATTTAATTCAAGAGTCTTGCTGCACACTAACAGAAGTATATTTTTCGTCTGACCAAGGTCAGATTTCCTCAGACATAAATTCTTCAACTTGTAGGATACTGTATCGGCGAGAAAGTCTGACCTTTATCAGACAAAACTTTACAGAAATTATTTATGTTAGTGTGCAGCAAGACTCTTGAATCACACAGGATAGTTATCTGCACTCTTGTTTTATATGCATTCAGATCCACTGGTACAAAAGCATAGAAGAAGGATGATTAGTTAGTCCTGTAGAAACCCAATCAATATCATAAATTATATGTGTTGTTGTAATATATCTATTTTAATACTCGTTTATAGGAAACAAGAACCCCAATGGATTGTATGGACTAGACTCTAAAGTTTTCTCTGATAAAGGTATTTAATCAAGCATATTGTGATGTTTTTCTGCTGCTTAGTAGTTGTCGTAACCAATTCTGTAACAATAACCAATCAGCAATTAGTCAATGATGACGTAACAATGGCAATTTACGCAGACGCTCACTTCTTTCACTCAAGATATTCAAGCGGTTTCACGTGTTATTTGTCAGTTTTCAGTTGTGTTTCCATAAAATAATTAAAATCAAATAATTTAACTGTCATCATGTCTTCCTAGGAGCTTTAGTTTAGTTGCGATAATCAAAAATTCATCTCCAGATAATTCTTGTAGATTTACATAATTAAGTTTGTCTACTTATTCAATGTTCGTTATTTAATTCTATTCAGGTTTAACGGATTCAGCATATGAGTTTGACAGTCAGACACGATTATATGGAGGTCTTCGACACAGTCGTACTTTTGATTTGGATGTTAAATTATCATATCCACCAATCACGGGTCCTATCGATATGATGGCCTCCCTTCCTACCTCAGTATGTACCTGATTTTATTGGATCCTTTTTTTCAAAAATAATTTTTTTGTATATATGCTTTCCTAATATATTTCTCTAATTCAGTCAGCCAACGTTTGGGTTTAATATTTTGAAATTTTGCCATAATTTATTTGACACTGTTACAAATGGCAGATGCCTTGATTTGTACTTGTGCTCCAGCTTTTTAGGTTATTACTTATCGATTTTAATCGGTAAGTATGTTGATAGGTATTTGTCTGTCTTTCTGTACATCTGTCTGTCTGTTAGATGCACGCGATATGTCAAGAAAGCGAGATTGAATCTGCCCCAGATCCCCTAACTTTCGATCGATGAGTCTTCGGTCTCTGATCAATATTCTCGTATTCACACTCGACGTGAACAATGAATGAATGAGAAAAAATATGTTCAGTGACTCTCTGCTTTGACTTTCATATTGATTATATTATTCTATATCTGTACATTATGTCAATTGAAACATTCGATTGTGACAAAAAATTAGTATTTTGCAATTTAGAAGCCGTAGCTTGTACCATTACACTTGTTTTTTTACGATTTTTAATTGGATAATCTAAACTTTGTAAATTTTATTTATTATTGTACAAAAATGGAAGATAAAAATATGTAAAAAAATTGGGCAAAAAATCCAAGTTACTTAGCCAAGATAAGCACACTGCCTGATTTGTCTTGTACATATTTTCTGATTGAATTCAAAACTTTGCTAAAAACTCATCAGATGTAAAACTTGCTTATGGCGAATATTTCATAACATACAATATATTTTATGCATTATCAGATGACTTCAGTAGATGAAGGATTCGTGTCACCAACATCAAGTATTGATTTCTCAGATTTAGAACAAGATCCAGCATCATTTTCACCTCACAAATCTGACAGCGGAATATCTACTCCTATTGTTCCTTATCATGGCTACAGGTGATTTACATTTCCATATAGCTTTCAGCTTTTTAGTCATCTTTTAGCTTTTCTTAAAACAGGGGTCTGCATAAGCCGCCATTTCGATGAAATAACTGCCAGGGGTTTTCCATTTTAGCGTCTTTACGAAATTTCTCAAACCCTTGCTCAGGTGATAGGCCCAGATTAAACGGTGGACTGAATTTTCTCAGTTCGACTTCGGCAAAGCGACTAGGTTATGTACCGATAGCGAAGATATTGATATATCAGAATTTCATCTTTGGTGATTATCTGGTTAGGTGAAGCATAAGATTTTGGTTCATGTTCTTTAGCAGGGCTAAATTGTCAGCTTATTATCAGTTTACGTTTTAGGCGAGAAATTTTTATAAAATTTATTTTCCAATGCCCTGTGTAATTCCTTCCAAACAGGTTTGCCGATTACAACTAATTTTATTTTCAACTTCATTGAAATGAGTTGTGACTCATTATTCATCAGTAATTGTCATTCATAGCATGAGCACTGGAAATTGTCATTTTTTTTTTTCAGAGTTCCAAATTATGACTTGAATGTTTGGAAAGATTGCTTGAAAGTAAAGAAAAGTAATCATCGGACATGGGAGACCCTTGGCTTGTGAGTTGATCAATCAATGAAATAATAAATTTCTTCAATAGTATTTGGTTCATCATAGTTATAATAAACAGTGCTTTTATCATACTCTGGATGCTGGTATGTGATTCAAGTCCTGATTACCTATTAGTGGTAATGGATTATGACAATTCAGGCCAAATAGGCAATCAAGGTAAGATATCTCCACAAGTTATCAGTTTGGTCAAAACGAATCAGCATCTATGATATCTGAAATTGAAACCCTTGGGAATATACCACTGTCCAATTTAGGATTCAATGTCACCTCCAGTTTTCAAAGATTAAAATATATGTTGTGTTTATCTCATTGACGAAAATGAGACAAATTATTGATGTAGCTCAAATATTTGGACAAATCCTAATGGATTTACAAATTTATCCTGGGAGAGAGGAAAGCGAACTACGACTCATCGTCTGGTTACTAGTTCATGTCGGGTATGGGGTTAGTTAGCCAGTTATTTGTTTCAGATGCATGGACTTGATGATGGAGGAATACGTAACTGACCGGCGGTTACGTAAACCCCCCTACGGCGACGTGGAGTCCAGCAATACTCTTGCACATACTTTTCCCCCACTGGATTCGAACCTGCGAACGAACCCACACAGGGTGCGGTGTTGGGTTATTACTTTGTTTTAGATGCACGGATTTGATTTTTAATGATGGGCGATGGTAGCTAAATAATTTACATTTCAGACCTGCTGGATCAACGAAACGTGAATTCTATCTCACTGAAGCCGGACCAAAAATGTTTGATGAAATATGGAAACAGCGGGCTTCAGTTATTCATAGATTAGCAAACTTCTTAGATGGTGGAAATCTTCCAACGCTGGAATTCAGATGCCTGGAAGAATCGAAACTTGTTAAACAAGCCACATTAGTCATGATGGGTGTTTCATCGGATACATTTCAATTTAATAGAGTAAGTTGAAGATTTATAGTGTCAAAAAACTTTATATCTAAATATTTAAATTTGGATAAAATAATTTTGTCCTAATAATTGTTTTTGTGATCACAATTCTCATTTGTTGTTGTTACCTGCAGATATTTGCATTGATATACCTAATTTTGATTTAACATGAAGTGAGGTGTACCCACAAGGTGGAAAATGTGCGCAGTGGTAGTTAGGAAGGCCACATGAAGGTTGCGTAGAATGCTGCTTCTAGAAGATATGTTTGGTTCCCACAATTTCCCTGATTACATTTTTTCATCTATGGTTTTGCCAGTTGGAAAAATTAAACTTGTTTTGATATTGTGAGAACTGTGAACAACTATGATTCCATTAATTCAAAATTCTTTTTCTTACAATTATTTAGAAAAAATAGAGTAATCCTACTTGTGTTCCATTCGCTCTCGTACTTGCATAATTTTGCATAATCTCACCATTTTGAAATCAAAAATTATATTCGACTTAAAATCGGTGGGCTACAGTTCCTATTAGCATAAAATGTTGTGTCCAATGTACGTTCACAAAGTGAAATATCAGAATTTTCACTGCTTAGATTGTATTATGTTGTTATTGAGCTCTATTTTTTGGTACCTCCAGAGGAACATCTATTTTTCTTTAATTAATAATTTGTTCCTATTTGTTTGTTTCAGCTTGCTCAAATGTTTATTCCGCGCAAAAACATATATTTTTCTGGTGTCGATCCTGAAGCTGTTTATTCACTTCTATCAAAATTCAGTGAATGGGGAACATGTTATTGGAGATTGGTTCATTTCTCTGCATTATCTGTATCAACAATACATTCGTCAAATCCTTTTCAATTATTTAACACTTCAGCTGTCTCATCAAGAAATGAAGAAAAAGGAGTAATTTTTAAGGTGAATTTTCATGTTTTTTAGCAATGTGGGGTCATAAAAAGTGGTGGACGTACCAGTCTAAGGGTCATATCGTTGGACTCAACTAAGGGTTACATCTCAGTTCTAAACCCCATGTCTCACCACCTCACCCTCAGTGTAATAGATGGGGCTGTAATAGTGTAACAACGTCTATGCATTCTGCGGTTTATCATGTTCGCGTTAGGGTCTCCCATGTCATAAATCGCTAAATTAAATCATGGAAAATGCAGGGCAATACCTCCCGCTGTAATCCTAGCTTGTAGATATTATGCTATAGTGTGATAGAGCTTGCACTATAGTAGCACCAAATTGGATAGGCAATGCAGAACTAAAAAAAATTCTGGTCCTTCCATAAATAGTAAATCTTTGCAATTACACAGGACCTTGTTCAGATTGAAAGTACTGTAGTGGAAAGTGTCATATGCAAGGTTTTTAATATGCAATATTTTAATGCTAAATAAGAATTTAGGTCTTTGATTACGATTGGAATCTCATATATTTTTCAAATTTAGGCGTTTACTGATGCAGTCAGAAGATATCTACATGAATTTCAACATCAAATATTGGCATTGAAATTGGAAAATATAACTTTGCAAAAATTATCTGTTAAATTAAGGAAAGCTGGTGCTCAGATCAGGTAAGACTCATAACTAATCGATTTTAATCGGTAAGTATGTTGATAGGTATTTGTCTGTATGTCTGTCTGTCTGTTAGATGCACGCGATATCTCATGAAGGCGTGGTTGAATCTGCTCCAAATTTTGCATGTGCATTTATCATATCTCGGACCAGTAGCCTATTGATTTTGGATGAATTATGTCGTATAATTAGCGAGTTATTAATTAATTAGTGATGAAGAGATCCGGATTTTTACAAAGCGAGAGATTTTTGAGACGCGCTGAATGTGTGTGTGCGTGTCCGATGCGTAAGTTTTCACGCTAGTGAGTCAGAGCGAAGGATACACACCGCTAGATCGTATCTCGTGATTAATCTTTAAGCATTGTCCATATCTCTCTTGTAACTTTGATGTGGTAGCGATGCGCAGGTTTCCTTCGAGAAATTTTCCACGCTATTAAGTCAGAGCGAAGGATACACGCCGCGAGATCGTATCTCGTTACGTATAATTACTCTTTAAAGTTTAAGCAATGTCCATATCCCTCTATCAGGTTCGGGGTTGCAGAATTCCTCACCAAAATATCGTTAGGCTGTGTTTGAATAGCCGTCGCAACCCGGGTTAGTGCCGTTGTATTTGACACAAAATATAGGATTGGAAAATAGGCTATTGGCTGGAAACTAATCGAAACAATCCAGTTCGGATTTGCAGAATTCTTCATAAAAGTATTTCCTCGAGTAGTATTTCGATGACGACATGGGGAGTTGGCTATTGTTTCCTACATTTTTGATATTGGCTGAAAACTATTCAAAACAATCCAGTTCGGGTTTGCAGAATTTTTCGAATCGAAACCGCAGTTTCTGTTTTGGGGGATCCCCTAACTTTCGATCGATAAGTCTTCGGTCTCTGACCGATATTCTCGTTTATATATCATTATAAGAAGTTACAGGATTCTTCCTTGATTTTCAAACTCTAAACGTATTTACTCACTGGTGTGTCATTGCGCAAAGTTTGGGGAGCCACTGTTTTTGTGTGTTGAAATATAAGTCCAAAGAAATATTAAACTTGTAACTGGACACATAGTGGATGGATTGTTCTGTTATTATGTTGTTGTTGTTGGCGGTGGTGTGAAATAAATAATTTCCTCTTTAATTACTGTAATAATTGTTTGAAAATTTTCAGTGGTTTAACATTAATGTTGTCGCCAGAAGGCTATTTCTTTTATTTATTTCCAAATTTTTTGTAGTCCATATGAAATTAGTTTGTTTGTGTTTGATGAATCAAAATAAAAAATTGCGCACCTTGTGGCAGTTCCACGTTCGCATTCATTGCGATTTGGTGATCAGTTGAGGTCGCGAAGACTCTGTTTCCGTATCGTAACTGTGAAAGATTAGATACCCGTACTACTTCTTTATTGCCTTCGTGTCCTTATATTTGAGCATTGCTATCTTGTTCAAAGTTTTCTGACAAAATATAGTCAAAGACAGTCAAAGAAGTTAGTCAAAGAATTTTAATTTTTAATGCAGATAAAATTTGTTGAATTTATTTTTTTTTTAGACAACTGATCAATTATCCTTTCCTCTGGGATAAATATGAAAATATAGTTTTTGTAAATCAAAATTTATTTTCTCAGATACATATGTCAGTTGTGTCAATGTGGTGACCCTGACTTGCCTCCTTCATCACCAAATATTGCAGAAAACTTTCCTACTGGTGTACAACTTCTATCTTATTTATATGAAGAAGCGGTTCATTGTCCTGAACCAAATCATTATCTCGCTTTACTTTATTTGCTGAGAAAATCTTGCCTTCCATACTTGCAATTTGTCCAGGTAAAGTTGGAATATATTTTTTAAATCAGGATTTTTCAAATTGGGTCCTCAGCCTTGGGGGCCACGAGCAAAGATCGAAATTAATTCAAAATAAATTGACTGAGTTTTGATTCATTTTTTGACTTTGATGCATTTATTTTTTTGCTTTCAATTGTTGGATTTTATATTATTAAACGGAGCATGTAAGATAACTGAGGGAAAGACTTTAAAACCAAAACTTTAATTTTTTTAAATTTCCAGAACTGGGTATTCAGAGGACAATGTTGGGATGCTTCTGGTGAATTCATGTTGAACGTGAATGCTGATTTCGGTGGAGCTCGCAGAGATCGTTTAAGATGGTTGAAATATATTGAACCAGTGGATACAAGTGATCCAGGATCTTGTGTTCCTTCATTTCTGGCACCATTAGCTGAGGAGATTTATACTTGTGGAAAAACTGTTTCCCTCATGCAGTTTATTTCACCCGAGGTATATAGGTTTCAGTAATACTGTTATAGAAGTACCGTATATTATGGATCATAAGGTGCACTGTCAATAAATTGCTTAGATTAAATTTTATTCATACATTAGGCGCATCGGGCTATAAGACGCAACTTGAAGACAGGTTTATATATTAAACAATGGTACTGGTTTGAGTGTTGGCAATAGGCTTGCACGTAATTTACGGATTTACGGAATTACGGAATTATTCCGAGTTACGGAAGGGAAGTTACGAATTACGTAAAGTCGTAATTATTGGTCGAGCGCTTTCGCGATTGAAACGAGCTCTCTTCAGAGCAGTCAATTCCGTCGATTGTAAAAAATTAAAGTTTAAGTAAAAGAAGTTAGAGTTCCGGTATTCGCAGCCGTTTCTCTCTCTCTTGTTAGGCAGATGGGGAAGGCATAACGCGTCATTTACTAACCTATTATCAACTTATCTAGGATGGCCAATGTACATATTAACCGTAGATAAAGAATAGAATTGTGTTGAGACCGATGGACGTCAACACACCTGGTTTCAACTTCTTCGGGTGAAATGACTAAAGAATGTAAGAGATCAACTTATAAAACATGGTCTTTTTGTAAATGCCGTGATAATTAATGTCGCGCTTATCAAACAGCAATATAAAGACGGAAGAGAAATTGCGTAATGAACCGACGCAACTTAGTCTTTTCGGCATCGGTAAAGCGATTGAGACGGCAGAGAAACAACAATACGACGGAATTCCCGGGTTTTTTTCTGCGCGAGATCCATTTTCTATTACAAAATCTTGATGTTCTTTTACCGATTTTATCGTTATATATCTGTCCGGACTTGGCATTTCTCAATATGTTTTTCACAATGCCTCGCAATATGTCGGCCAAATATGATTACCTGTCTTTACCAAATGCGGCAACTTATTTTGATTTATCGTCGACTCGAATACCACCGGCACTCGACCAAACTTGTGTCAATCTTGGCAAATAGAATTGTCGACTTGAGTTAGAAAAATAAATTAATATTTTCATGAGTGCAAAATAAATGTCACAAAATGCATTGTTTTGCGACATAACTTTGTATTTTCGGAGAAGGCATGTCATATAAGTACGGTATTTTAAATAATGCGCAAATAATTAATATTTGATCTAAATTTATCGCAAATAATGTTATAACTTTTAGGCCGCGAAATGATTTAATGTAGAATGAAGCATGGAATTCGGAATATCGTCAATAAGTCGGCATCAATAATTATCATAAAATGCTAACTAAGTAGTAAAGTCGGATATTGTAGAAAACGGTGAAATAACAAGTCTTCGTCGCGAGGCAAGCGAAAGTATAATCAAACGAGAGAATACGCTTGTAGTTGATTAATAAATTAGCAACCCGGAATTTTTATTTAATACGAAAGTCGTATTAATACGTTAATACGATTTTAAAAAAGTGAACTATCGTTTCCTAAATATATTACCAGTGTTGGTAATGATAAAATTGATCGCATAAAATTTGGTGATAAAGTGGATAAAAAAAATCAAAGCTAATACAAAAGATAAAAATCAGAATAAAATTATTTTGAATTCACTTCTTGATATTTGTCTTTAACATCTGTAGCCGGCGTGTAGTACTGCCGGGAATATGAAAACCAAACTCCGATGTCCCATTCGGAATAGAAGTGGATTAAATTGGTTGTTATGATAGGTTTAAATGTGTGAAAAAAATATCGCAATTACGGGGTCATTACGTAATCGATTTGGCCGTAATTACGGAATTGATTTATGTCAATTACGTGCAAGCCTAGTTGGCAATATAGAATAAAGCACTACCTGATTCATACATTAGGCGCACCAGCTTATAAAGACTTGCTTATAAGGTACATGATCAATTTTTGAGAAAAAATAGGATTTAAAGTGTGCCTTATGATCCGTAAAATATGGTAGTATTCTCCTACTATTGTGTTGGTCATTTTGCTGGCATTGGGTATCTGAACAAGACTTAGACTATTGGTATTTTCTGGATTTATTGATACATATTATTTTTACGTTCCAGTCGCAAAAATAATTTTATATTGAAATTCATTGAAATATGTTTCACTGTCACTAATTTTGACTATTGTAACAGTTTTGGTCATATTTGATGAATAGTGGATAAATCATGATAGGCTGCAATAATGTTTTTCTCTGACTCTGTAGCATTTCCTGGTAGTGGATGGAGTTGACACTCCTGATTTGGAAATTACATTTTCTAAACGAAAAATACAAATTATTGAAAATGAATGGATGAGACATGGAATGAAAATGACCGATCTTGAAGCAATCAGAACAATGCATTGGGTAGAAAAGGTAAACTATTTTAACCCCAATAAACAAAAATATCATATTGACAAGAGGTCTGGGAAAAGAAAGTTTGTGGAAACAATTGATATCACAAACATTTTCTTTCGTTGCTGATATGTTAACGGTAAATGGTATATACTACAATAATAAGACGTAACTAACAGTTGAGGTTATGTTTGTAATGTTGGGGTAATGTTCATATGTTTGTAACCGCATCTTGCACACAAATTTTTGTTAAATAAGTTTTAAATGCCAAGAAATATATTCGCTTGCATCGATGGTTTCCAATCTTTTAGTGTCCAATCCTTTTGTGTATTTTTAAATTTTTTTTCCTATCTCAGTATTATAAAATATCGGTTTTATTTCGTTTCTCAATATTTGATGAATTATTAGCTAGAAATATGTCAAATTCACACTGTGGCTTTTGTATAGTTTGAATAGTTTGTAATGTATGCATTACAATAGTACTATATAAGTAAATAATATTACGTAAATACAGGGAAAAATTTTCCCTTTCTGGACCATTTATTCCTCCCCTGCTGGGAAACCCTGAATTATATGGTTTATTATCTTTATAATATATCGTGAAATTTATGAAATAATCAATTTTGAATCTTTTTTCTCAGGAGGAAGAACTGAAAGCGTCTGCTCACAAGGTTGCTATGTTAGTTAGGAAAGCAGCGAAAGAAGAAATTGTCAAAATGCGAAATGAAATTAAACAAAGAAAACAAGAAAGATATGATATAAAAATGAAAGAATTTGAAAGATTGAAAAAACAAGCAAAGGATGACGCTGAAAGGTAAATATTTTTATATGTGTTGCCTATTCAAGCTGCTGGCTCTGAAAAAGGAGCTGTACAAGCACCAGTGAGATCTAGTATTATGTAATGAATTACTATTTTTGGAAGAATCGGAATTTATCATGATTGAAAATTGTTGACAAACTTTATTTTTATGCAGGAGAGCTCTCGAGATTCAAAAAGAAAAAGACGAAGATCATAAAAGAGAAGAAGCTAGACAAGAAAAAGAAAAATTAAAACAAGCCGAAGAAAATAGACTATTATCCGAGGAAAAGTAAGTTTATTCTTATAAAAAAAATTGAACATTTTTTGTTTTATAATATATAGAGCCCTACTACTTTTGCTACACTTATTTTAATCTGCTGCTAGCTTTGTCCAATTTACATTTCAAGTTTCCTGCTTTACCAGTGGTTCTAACATTTTTTTTTACTGACCCAAGTTTTGTGAAAAAACTTAACTAAACATGTAGTTCTTCTATGGTCGCAAAATTAATGTACTAATACAGTACAATCATTTTACATTGCATTTATTTCACTTGAAATTACTACAAAGTCGTATTTAAGAGGCAGGTGTGGTTGTTTGCCATCTGCAAGTTTTTAAAATGGTGGCATGGATTTACTTGAGCATAACAAAATATAGTCTGCCAAGTTTTTACCTGGTGATACACAATTAGCTGCTCCTGTAGTATGTGAACCAAGATGGCGGACACCGGAACATAGGATGTGTACCAGGTTAGGGTTAGGTAATAATTTTATTCCAATTTTCCTTATTTTAGTTCTTTCACGAGTTCGGGGACTAGCCAAGTGACTCCGTGTTTGTACCTGAAATGATGACCTAACCCTAACCTAGTACTCATACTACGTTCCGGTGTCTGCCATCTTGGTTCACATTCTACGGGAGTACCCACACTTATTATTAATCAACAGTGCAATATTGAAATTAAACAATAAAACTTACCAGGAAATAGAAACTTTTGTTGATAAAATAGGCCCTCCCAAGAGGATTTTCAGCTAACCCAATTCAGGGTTGCGAACCACTTGTTTGGAAACTCTGAGATGGGCTATGTAACTAACACCACAGAAGCATTATATGTCAAAACATTGGAATGCATTTCTTAAGAAGAACACATTTTCTGAGTTTTTGAAAGATGAAGAAGAAAATTATATTTTTTGATTTAATTCAAATGTCATGGAAAAACCATTTTGATTACCTTACAATGATATTGTGAATTCTTCTTACGCCAGGGAAAAATTAGTTTCATATTATGAAGAATTAAACATGGAAGCTGAAAGAAGAATCAGGAAAGCTGAATGGTTGAAGAGAAGAAATCGACTTCATTCTGAAAGAATTAAACACTCAATTGAAGACAAGGTATAATTGTTGAAAAATTTTATCTTAACTTGATTTAAGATAAAACATTAGACTTGCCGCTTGCCGCCACATTTTTGTGCTTACTTGTTGGCAGTGTCTTGAACCAAGTAGAGTCTTGCTCATTCAAGTCATGAGTCCAAGTCAAGCAAATCACTGAGTTACTTATGGTAAGTCTCACTGGTGGCTAGTTTAGTACATTTTGCTGTTCTTATTTAAACCACAGGAAAACTTATCTATAGAATATACTTTGGCGCTTCAGAAGTGTGTGTACTAATATGGAGGTAACTAATTTTGTTCGCCTACTTTACGTCAATTTGTTTGAAGGGACTGAAACCTATGGGCAGGGGGTATATATACTTGGCTAATACAGACAGTCCTGAACTCCAGAATTAAAAAAAGGAAAAACGGAATAAAATTATGGCCTAACCCTAACCTGGTACCTAACTACGGGAGTACCTATACTTTTATATGACTGTCAATCTTCATGTTCATAGATTCGAACATTATCCTCTTGTTATTTTAGCAATACTGGAGATCTGAGATAACAAAAATCCAACAAGCAGCTTCAATTAACACTTCTTTAGTTGATGTCCTTGCTGACAAATCACAGGGGAATCCTGAAAAGCAACATGAAGTTGTAACTGGACGAAGTAGTATCGAAGCACTTGACTCCACTATTCTGAAAGAATTCTTAGACATAACTCTCCTATCACAAGCTGAAGAGAAATCTGTGAGTCGTATCATTTTGGGATTGTTAATACATAAGTTAGCATGAACCAGTTAGCGTGAATCCCACTTCATAAGCTTATATTTAACTAGGCTCACCATATGTACCGGTGTGTACAGGGCAGTCCCAGTTTTGACAAGCTGTCCCACTGGGTAGACTTAAATAAATGTCCTGGTCATGCAGTATTGAAGTCATATATATTATTTTATTTAATATTCATACAAAAAACATTTTTTAATGGAGGCAGCCCATTTATAACTGATTTACGACCAACTTCACTAGTTCAATGAGAGAGAGCGAGAACTTTTTAAATCGTTTTTTTTTAAGAGATATTTCATTCTAACTTTGTTATTATTTATATCACAGCTTGAAACTCAAACAAAAATGGCTTCCGATTTGGAAAGAGCATTACAAGATATATCACCACAAAAACCATTATCAGGAGTTTTCGAGAATAAAGATCCTGATCTATATCGTCCTCAAACAGCGACCGGAATTCATCATGTTTCAGAAGAAACTTTGTTATCATCCAACATTGAAAAGACAACCCACACAAAAATGGTTCACGGGAAAAGTATAACTCAGTCTCATTATAAATTCGAATTTAATGCGAGTAACTCAGATTCGAATGGTCCGATTACTGCGAGTTCCAGAATGATCGGTGAAAAAAATATATCACAATCGTCTATGAATGACGTTTTCGATGAACAAAATTTACCTCAAAATTCAGCGGTGCATGGTACAGCTGTGAAACCTGTTGAAGGAAAAAATATTGCAGATTCAAACATTGGTGATTTAATGGGCGTTGGCTCCGCCACACCCCATCCAGAAAACACTACTTCTAAATCAAGAAAATCTATTCCTGGGCAAGGAGTTTCTACCACCACATTCGACAAAGATTCAACTGGCTTTTCTACTCATATTAAAATATCGAAAGATAAAAAAGTATCTGATTCAACCATGAATCAAATAATAGGAGGAAATTTTGATACAAACGACACCACTACAAAAACATTTAAAAAGCAGGTTGCAGGACATGGAATTTCAAAATCATCAGTAGGGGATTTATTGACAGATAGCCCGATTGGCGATTCGAACATAAAAAGCTCTATTGTAACCCGAAGGTCTTCTCTGCCAGACTCCGTCATGGGTGAAATATTATATGGGGCTGATCATGTTGACTCGATTGCGACTCTGACCCAACACCCAGTAAAAGATCCGAGCGCGCCCAACCCCTCTAATAGTACTGTTGAATCCCTACTTTATGGAGATAGTGATTCAACAAAACAAGAAATTCATAAAAAGAAAAAAGTTGATGGGAGAAATGTTTCAGATTCTAGTGTTGGAGATATGATGAATACGCAAACTTTGTCGAGTAAAGGTAAATTTGGATATTTGCTGGAATTTCCATACTAGAGTAGATGGAAGTCTAAGTGTAAGCCACCTTTTCAATATAATATTTTAAATAGTAGAAAGGTATTTAGTATTTGATAGGATAAGGGGGAAACTACTCAAAAGCTATATAAGAATAAAAACTAATATAAAGGTTATTCTTATTAGTTCAAAATGCTTTTCAAAAATAGCACCATTTTCGGTGACTACGTCTCAGACCGTGGTTTCATCTTTCAGAAACCTGAATAACGAAACTTCAATCATTCTGAAACATGGTTGTCACCTGTGCCCCAACCAGGTTCCGCTTGTCTATAAGAAGCTAGTATTTTTGAAGAACCATAATCTACCCAGTTGGGCATCATTTGAAAAATTCATATCTCTCTGAGTTAAGTTGTGAGCACATAGGCGTAGCCTAGGCATGCTTTCATACCTCGGATAACTTCGACAGCGAAGTACGTCTGTATAGCAATTCTTTGAGATATTGTTAGATATCCCCTTCCACTTCCAAAAAAATTTTGTGCTGGCTACTCTCTTGTGTGAGCATTGAGTTTCCACTTAAGATCTTCAAGTCCAACTCTTTAATTAGGCTTCCCGCTGCTTGTCAGCAGGGAGCCTATTGTATTCCTGTGTTTTATTATTATTATTATTTATTTATTATTATTTATTTTTATTATTTTTTTTTCAAATTGGTCCTACAAACTTGAAATTCACCTCAAATGTGCAGAAGTTCTCAGCTAGCAATAAAATGCAAATTTTATGCATGACTGATCACACTTTCACGCTCCAGTGAGCAAAACGCGTCTTCATTTTTTTTGCGATTTCTCAAAATTGTTACATGGTATTGGGTTGAAATTCATAACAATGATTAATGGACATGTTCCGGATACGATATGTGAAGGATACGCATGAGTGACCTCGGCGATACGCTCCAGTGAGCAATATAGGATTTTACATTTTCATCTTCTTCTCGAGAATGACACTACTTAGAGACTTGAAATTTACATCACATGCAGATAATAAGTCCCCCATCATAAATTGCAAATTTTATGCATGACTGACCACGCTTTCACGCTCCAGTGAGCAAAACGCGTCTTCAGTTTTTTTTCACGCGGGAAGCCTGTTAAAGCTGCACGCAGCTCTAGTTACCATTACCTTTATCACACCCATATGGGTTTTTGGAATTTTGAATCAAAAGAGTGAAAATTTTTTGTATCGGCCTATTTTAGTGTAAAAACCCCATGACTGCAACTGCTCAACATAGATAACTGAGCACATAGAAGAGCGAATTCAAATATTGCAAATTCAACTGTCGTACTTTTCGCAATCTACAGATGCTCCATCAAACCAGGATATTGATAGAGTGAGGCGATTTGCAATTCAGAATCATATACATGGGAGTCATCACAGTCAATCAAGCATACAAAATCTCATGTATTATCAAGACAGAGACCCAACAACATGGGAAAAAGGGGAAAAAGTATATCTTACTTCGCTTCTTTTAGTAAAGTTTTTACCATATGAAATATCTCAAATTGTTGAAAGTTTTTTATATTGGATACCGGAGCTGTCTATGTCTAATAGTTTGTCCAAGTTTATAAATAAGGCTTGTGCAGTTTGGTTATGGTGTCATAATTTTTGCCTGCATTTTATTCGCAGCCATTGAGTTGAAATTTTAGATATCAAAAAGTCTCTGGTCTGAGCAAATTTTTTAACTTGGTATGAGGCAAATCTGAACGCCAAAGTTATTGCAGTCAAAATTTTATTATCACCCAAGAGTTGAGAGCTTGATTCAAAAACAAATTCTTACATTTATGTTTCTTCAATGTCTCCCCTTTGGTAAAAACTTTTCTCTGCTTTCCTGTTGAAAATGAAAGTAATTTTGTTTATTACAACTATTCATTTTATTATAAAACAAAATTTTTCAGTTATTAGTAACTAACCATTTGTGAATATTTATTCCTATTTTAGAAAAATACAGTTGTAAATGTTGTAAAGCATCAACCACCGATAAATTCATCCAAGAGACATCCATCTTACTCTACATTACAACTGCAAATGTTCACACCACTTGGTAATATAATAGGTTATAATTAGGTTACATTATTAGTAATAGAAAATTAACTTGAAAATGGAAAAAAATAATTTGAGTACCGGTACTTTTGATATAAATTTGGTTTCAATGCATTTAAAATTTATATCAAAATAAAAATTATTACCGGTATATCCATGCTTTTGTAATTTTTATATTTTAGTAGTCTTTGTGTTTCGCTGCCACTTGAAAAGCTGTATAATGATTTATTTCACACTAGAAATGTTTTGCAAATGAAATATAATTATATCCATGTTTCAGTTGGATAATAGATAAATGGGTTGCAATTTCTAATGGTTTTTACATCTAGAACCTGAACGATTACTTATTTGCAAAATGTGACATGGCACACTAGAGCTTTACATTCGCAGAGCAATTTCAAACCAATACTAGCACTGCATACTGTATGTACAATTTTTGTCTTCAGATAACTGTTTTTTAAATCTAAATATTAGCAAAGCCTGAATAATTAGGCAACCATACTTATGTCCTATGTGTAAAACTTCATAATCGAGTGTATTATTACTTTCAATGCTGAAGCTATTGATGAAGAAGAAGAAATATTCAAAGCTGAAGAAAAAACTTTTCATCTCCAACTTCCTTCGATGATAAATAATTATTCTGATTCATTGCAACCTAAACTTGACGCTCGATATCCCAGTATGTAATTCATTTTTGTTTTATTTCTTTTGTCTGGAATTTTGAACAACTTTACTATGAATTTTGTATTTTCTCCAGTGAGCGAATAAGATTCGATAGGTTTTTATAATTTTTGAATCACATAGTATAAACATCTTTCTTCCATCTATATACCATCCTTGCATTATACTCATACGGATCCACTTTGCACTGGAAAAATAGGGAATTAGTCTCATATCTAATCGGAAATTTGCAAATATTAGATTCATCACGGATATAAAAAAAAACTTTTGTGATTCAGATAAGGAAGACATATTGCCAGTTGATCTGCTTGGCAATGTTGTCGGAAAATCTTTTGAATCTGAGTTCGAGGATGAAGTGACAATGAATAATGGTAAGTTGGTAACATTATTTATGTACAACTATTTTGTTGAAATTTCTTAGATATGGCATGATTTTCTCCATTGGTATTTAGTTGACAAACTAAAATAAGTTCTACGACTAGTTTATCTCTTTTTCGTGATATGAAAGAGGATCATTTTTCTATTCTGAATTCTGTAACACAAACTGTTTTTCCATAGATTAGTTGTAATAAGTGATCTTCGTATCACAATACTAACCATATAATATATGCTGAATACATTTTTCAAGAACAACTTTCAGTTCTAGATCTGTGGTTTTCAACCTTTCTGGTAGAGCAGGAACCCAATGAAACATTCCAGAGGTTCGGGGAACCCTGTACAATAGTTCACGTGTTATATATATATATAACACAAGCAAACCTAATACTAGTTAAAAAATTGATATTTAGAGTGTAAAAAGTTTATTAATTGTTGCAAATTAATTGGTATTCGATTTTAGGTGGACAATATACATATATTAATATAGACCTGACATAGCCAAACTACAGCCTACAGGCCAAATCCGGCCCGGCCCGTTGGGTAATTCAATTCGGCCCGCCTGATTCTGCCACAACCAAACTAAAACCAAATTTTGACATTTAAGGTAACATAGCTCAAGGAATTTGTTGAGATTGCAATTAAATTTAGTTTGGGCACGACGCTTGTTGTTTTCTACTTTTGCTTTTGTAACATTGTAAATTTTGTTCGTAAAATGTTACTTTTACGTCACACTCGCATGGCCCGAATATATTTGGCCACTGGTTCAAAAACCTTGTCCACCCCTGGTATAGACTCTCAAGTTTGATGAAACTTGCAGAACCCCTGGACTGTATTGGCGGAACCCTGGTTTAAAGCCACTGTTCTATATTCTAATTTACCGAGAGAGTTTAATACAATGAAAACAAAAAATGATATTACTCTCTTATTTCATTTACATTAGCTGATTGGAGATCTGACATAGATGCTGTAGACATGCATGCTTTGCCTGTATTACTAAGTCAATGTATCGTCAGACCTATCATGCAACAAACTGCACTTGCGAACAGGTATTTACAAGTTATGTATCAAACTTTTTTTATTTGAAAGCTTTTTCAGCATAAAATGGCTGACCTTTTGGGTACGAACACGGGTATGTTCATAAACTTTGATTTCAATGAGGGACGATCATGTATGAGAGATTTTCTGAAATTCTCACTGGAATGGAGATGTGCATGTAGGGTAGGCTCATGTAATGGCGGTTATGTCTTCATGCACCTTAAATCATGCATCTGAACCAAATACCTGGTTAACTAACTAAACGATTGGCCGAGTTTGTCATATTTGTTGTGTTTTTAAGCCCATTTCTATTTGCAAGCAAGTACACACATAATCAAAGAATAGTAGCGACTAGCGACTTCCTTATTTTTACCAAATCAAACTCGCAACTCATCGGAAAACTTCGGCAAGGACAAAATGTGTAAATGAAGATAATCAAAAGATTAGTAATGTGATTTATGACATAATAAAATATACATCACAATATCATTAAGCTGTCTTATTAGCTTTCCTCTAGATAAATTGAAAATTCATTTCGTTTTTATTTAAAGATGCATCATCAACTATTTCATGGTGGACATGGAATTACCTCGGCATTTTGAAATGTTGAGACATTTTTCGTTCATGGAAGATGGAGAGTTCGGACAAATATTGAGTATTCAATTATTCGAGAAGGTAATAATTTTTATAGTCGTTTGCTTTACATTTATAGATATTTATGACACTTATTTGAGAAAGCGTTGAAAAATTTTATAGCTACATTTTTATTGCATTAACGATTTTCCATAGGGTATCACTAATTTAAAGACAGCTCCAAAACTCTCATGTATCGAAGTGAAATCGGTTTCGTATTTTCAAATACCCTAAAGCTGAAATTTCAGACCTTTAATATTGATCATCAGTGTCAAATTTCAGACAAAGTTGAATAAGCAATACCAACAGGCAATGAAATTTGCTTGCATACACCAATGTTTTTTTGATTGGACACAAAGTATACATTTGAATTGTTACTATGTTGTTCTTGTTGGTATTTTTCTTCTCGTTGTTATGAAAAAAATCTCTTTTCTCATTACCTACTGGGCCAATTCCTTTGAAATTTTCAGTGGTTGAAGATTGTTTCGCTAGAAGGCTATTTATTTATTTCAAAACGTTTTGTGGGCTGTACCGTACAGTATGAAGTTTATTGACAGTACTGTACAGTAGACTAAGTTTGGTAAGATACTACTGCTTTCGCTTTGGCCTATGTGTCCATGTATTTGAGCATCACACTTTGTTATTATTTGATTTTTGAAGAGTTGAAATTTTTTCAACCTGGAGTCGGAGAGTCATTTTTGAATTGCTCAGAGTTTATATTCAGAATCTGGTATAATTATTTCTTTCTCAACTCTGTTCGCAGTAGCCAGTAGGGCTTTTTGTGTGTGGTTTAAAGGTTAGACATTTAAATCTCAATTAAAACGAAATTAGGACGATCTTTAACTTTTATGTAAGATATATTTGCATTGAAGACATGAACATTGAGTTACATGAAGAGTTATTTTATGATAATAGGGCTTTATGATTCCAATAAATTTTTATTGACAAATACAGTCAGAGCCAAAAATTTTAATAAAAACATGTTTTTTTATCTCTCAGCCATATCGTTTTTTTTCTTCTAAATATTTCAATTTGATTTTTATTTTAACCTAATCCTCCCGGTTTGACGCATGCGCGGCGTTTCAGACGTTTTGCGATGCTGTGTGTATACCATGAGGTCTGGAATGTTTGTTATGGTCTTGCTTGAAAGGAAATCTTATTCCCCACACAACGATATGAGAATGAACCTTATATGACATTTAGAAGTGATAAAATTTCGCTTACATATCACGCGTGTACTTCCCGCTGCGATATAAAAACGTCGCACAACAAGAAAATGATTCCATAAACCTTGGCGTTGCGCGCTAACCAATAACAAAAACTAGTATGATAAGGTCTTATTTTGAAGGTCATTTTATATGCTACATAACATAGGAGAGTGGACATCTCACAACGTCAGGAAGTTATAAAAATATCGAGTCGTTTGATCGCAGCTGCCTCACCGAATAAAGTTAGGCGTTTTATCTCGCAAATTCTCCTTGTCTGACGATTATAAGCTTTTATGATTCATAATAAATGTTTTATTATGACTCACAAAAGCTTTCAACGCGATAAAGCACAAACAAACAACCGATCGATCTATCAAGCTTAGCCTGGCCTGATTCGATGTGGTGACTTCTCAAACGGAAAATTTCCAAAACGCTTGAACAACTAGCGCTATGGAAAAGCATTTAGTATCATATGAAAGAGAAAACCAATGTGCAGTCAACTGTATAGTTACATTTCAGCTTTACAATAGCCATAGACGTCCAACAGCTGATAGAATGAGAGAGTGTAAATATTTTTGTTATTTTTTGACGTTACGAGAGACCTCTTGAAAGAGGTGTTTTAGTTTACGGTCCTCCAGTGACATCTAGCGTATAGTACTCTAAAATACCTTTCCAATGGTATATAATTATTGTATATTGGGTAAATTTTGGGGGTCGTATGACATTAATAAAAATGTACTCAAAATTGTGCTCGATTGGGCGTCTGAATCAGGTTAAACTTCTTTTCTCTCGATTTTCAGATGCATAGCGGTTGTCGTCCGATTGATCTTCTAAATCCAGTTATATTGGGATCGCTTATCACTCGAGCAGTACAAGGTTCTGCTCAACGTAATTCTCCTCATTCGAAGAGACTAACTTTTTCAGTTCAACACCTTCCAGATATCTTCAGCACAAACGGTATATTGTCATTTTGTGTCTGTGCTAAACAAAGATCTGCATAAGCAGCTGCTGCTAGGTAGCAGTCTACTAGAGTTTGGAACTTCTGCATTGCCCACTCAATTTATGACACCCCCAGTTAGGTGGTGGGCATGGGATTTGAACCTACCATATCATCATATCAAGTCAAATGTCTATGCCAGTTCGCCCATTTATAAAACGTAACATAAAATTGGCCGAAACAATGGATTTGTAATTTTGAATTTGGAATCAGATAATCATGATATCAAGTTTCTCAATATTATCATTTCAATTCTTTTTATAGTACTCTTACGATCAGTGTAAATTGATTGACCAAAAAAGCCAGGTGAAAGGAACAGTAGTTGTGTACATTATACTCCAATCAACTGAAGGAAATGTTATTGTTTATATGTCTCTTTTTATTAGCTTATATGAGCATTACATTTTCATGGCCTCATCTTTTCCTTTTTGTAAAATGTGTTGTCGTTTCGAAGTAAAATATTTTTTGTATGAATAATATGCATTCAGATTGTTTCATAAGCACTTTCTATTTTTTCCCAATAGTTTACTTCGATGTAAATTTCTTCTTTTCAGATCCGAGTTCCCTTGATTGCTTCACGTTGAAATATGATGTTGGTTGGCCTTGTAATATCGTTATCACTGAAGCAAACCAACGAAAATATGGACAAGTATTTGGATTTCTTCTCAAATTAAAACATGTCATGTGGGCTCTACATGATGTTTACTCAAAACTATCAACAATGGGTACAGATTTTTTTTTTAATTTTGCTTTTCATATTTCCGATCAGATTTAATGGTGTTATATCAATTTGGAAAATGAGTATCATTTCATAATGTTTAATCTGGATATATATATATGTAAATTGAATCCAATATGCTTCCCAGAATGTATAGGGTTAAGTCTTGGAGCTGTTTGGATGACGGCTGATTTGGCCTTTTTGACACCAAGTACTGAACAAATTTACAATTAAGTATATAAGTTGTAAACAAATTTTTTTATACCTATTTAATTGTATTTATAAATCTTTTTTCATAATATTTTTTCTGACTGTTATTACATTTCAATAAAAATAATAAAATTTGTCTTGATGATGTCCGACTGGCTACCAATATGGGTCCATTTAGTCCCAGGTTCTTTTGAAATTGGTACATCATACTTAATTTAGTACAGCTTGGACAAGAAGTTGAGCATATGTTTATAACCTATGATACTAACAATTTAATCATAAGATCCTCCCCCAAACCTAAAGTACTGATGCTGTCCTTCTTTATCACTAATTTTACTATTATCAGGAGACTCCTACACTTTATTATCGGAATCTGAATTGCGTCGACTACATCTATATCGACATGAAATGCAAAATTTTGTTAAAGTTATGCAAGGATATGTGTCAACTCAGGTACTTACTTATATTAGTATATAAGAGAGGAAAGAATATAAGATGCTTTGATCATGTGGTAGACCATGACTCTTGTACGGTTACCACAGCAGTCCAGGTATGATATGCTAATTTTCATATTCTGTAATTGGATGGTTGTCAATGTCTTAACTAGCTGATGAAATAAGTTAACTACACTGTGAAGTTGAGGAGCCTTCCTGTTCTTATTCAACTTTTCTTGTAGGATTAAAAGCTGTAAACCCATGCATGGTAATTTGATTGAATGATGACAAGTGCGTAATCAAACTGACCACATTATGATAATTTCAATATATGTACTAGGAACACATTAACCATCGCACCTCTGATTATTACCCTGTGCAGGCAGGTTTGAATACTATGGGAGACAATTATGTGCAAGAGGATGTGCCATCTTCGCGACTGTTGCGACTTCCTCTACCATCAAGTCCATGCTTCTGAAACGAATGATTAACTAACTATTTCCATATCCGACATGGACTGGTAATCGGATGAGATGCCGTGGTTTGCCATATATTTAAGCCATCTTATCAGTTTTCCTCTCTTCAGGATAAACATTAAAAATCTAATACTGAAAAATCACACATGTTCTATTTCCATTACTTTTCTGTAGGTTGTGCATGTATGTTGGCATGAATTCCAAGATGCTTTAAAATCTGCAAAATGTTTGGAAGATCTTCATAGTATTCATGTTGAATATTTAAGAAAATGTGTATACAGGTGAAGCATTGTAATTTACAATTTTAAACGACTTATTTTTGTTTTCAATTATATAATATTAAGCACAACCGAAAGTAATACGTATATCAAACCAACCATTGAAGGATTCTTCTACTTCAGGGATGTGCAACAGGTGGGCCACGGCCCGTCAAGCCATTTTGCGTGGCCCTCGTCAATCAAATTTTTTTCCATCAAGCATAAAATCCTAATCCGACAGTTTATGCTACAACTTATGTCAAAGATGATGTTAACAAACTACGCAAGAACGTGATATTTCAATCATGTATTGATAAAAGTCCATGTTATTTAATCTTTATTATTCCTATATTTACTTCTTATTCTGAAATAGCTCAATTTCACAACTTTACCTTCATTTCTTTGTTATATCAGATTTTAAAACTAATGTATCCACCCTTTTTATTAATTACATTCTTCCTATTATTCTATAAAAGGAGAAATTCATGTTACCATGACTACAACAAGTTAATTAGAATAAAAAAAGTATGCTCTTGGTTTGATTCTTTTCATGCTTCGTGACCTGTGTTGAATATATCAGATTATGATTGGCCGTAAATGTTTCATGTCTGGATCAAACTTGTTTTATATGTAGAAGTATCATCATTGTTACCTAACAATGGAAATCCCCCATTACTGCCTTTTGTCAATAAAGAATATTCGTTAAGGCTGAAATAAAATCCCTAGAAACGCTTGACTATGTAAACAAAACAAAATCTATTGTATGAAGACCAGTACAAAAGCTGGGGCATTGTAGTTAAAAACTATTTCAATGGAAAGAACGCTGTACTATTAGATACAAAAATAATATACAAACAAATAACAGAGCGTCTTATAAACTTACAAAAAGAGTGTCAGATACTATTCGAAATTCCAACGTTCAAAAATAACATAGTGGTTTATTATCGATATTGAGTGCTTTTTGATTTGTCCGCAGGTGTCTGTTGACAAAGAAGACTGCTGTTATAATGAATGTCATCACAGATGTTTTCAAAACTATTTTGCGTTTTTGGACTCAACTTTCTACAAAATCAATTGCTTTCTCTAAATTGAAACATACTTATGATAATTTCCAGAAATTTTCATCGTTTTTATTCAAGGGTAAGTTGACCTACCTAATACAAAGTATATTTTCAAGCTAGTGGGAAATGCCTATATTATTCTTTAATTTCATGTGTGCCATTTCTGCTCTTTACTCATGTAGTAGTGATTTGCCTCATCCACACAGGTATAACACAATCAATACAAGCATTAGATCATATGAAATTGAGATAGTTTTTGTCTTCAAGTTCAAATTCAATTCCATTGCAATATTATGTGAATGGCCATTTTTGAAAAGGTAATACATATCCACATCGCTGCACATTATGTCCTTATTCTGAGCAAATCATGTACTAGATTAAATCCAGTTTTTGCAGAATTCAATTCTGACCAAGTCTTATCATGCTTAGGTCAATACGGTAAAATTTGTAAGTTATGTGTCAGATTTGTCGGGAACCGGAATTTACTATATATTTGGAAATGTAATATGTTTTCCTTTTTTACAAATGAATTTTAACATATTCTATACATGACATAGTGATTTTTAAAATAATTTTAAAGAAATTTTTTCATTTCAGTGGTTACAAAACTTGTTGATCGTGGTTATCAACCTCATCTGGAAGATTTCCTTGTTCGGCTCAATTACAATGGATTTTACAAGGAATAAATACACAGATTATGTATAATCTTTAAACTCAAATCCAATACAATAACCTGCAACATTGTAGAACTATCAATGCCTGGAACTGTAAAGTTTTGTTAATTGATAATCACAACAAATTTAAATCACTGAAGATGATACAGTGTTTTATATTGGTTACCGGAAATATTGAAAATAAAATTTTAGATACTTTTTGTTACCATACAATATAAACATTGTTCATCATCAGTAATGAACCATTCTCCAAGTCAATCTATTTTAAACTAATAACTGATTAGGTATTTCTGTACCCGTTCTGGTCTGGTAACCCCAGTAGATGCCTTGAAAAAAAATTTTAAAAGGGAAATATAGAAATCCTTTGTTTAGGCTTGAGTTTGTTAGTCATTGTTTGCACTGGACAAAAGAAACATACAATAGAGAGTCTAGCATAAAATACAGGCTAATTTGATGAGCGCTATTGTTTGAAATTTATTGTTGTCATGTCTCAGCGTGATAAGTATAAATTTTTATTGAATGATCTAGTTTGCATAATTGACAATCTTGGGAGGGAAGTTAATAAACAAAACAAAAAATGTAAGAATGAAGACAACAGATCAGGGGGGGCGGTGAAGCTCGAAAATTGTTTTCCGATCAATGGAGGCTTGTTGCGTGATGACATGGTTGATCAGTTGGAGATATTCTTCATCTCTGTAATTCTTTTCTCATCTTTTATGAGCCCTTTGTATCTGAAAAATCAGGTAGTATTAAAGTATAAGCACCAATTTATTAGCAAACAATGTATCCACTATTATTCTTATTGCCAAATCACTGAGGCTCGAAACCATGATGGTACCAAGTAGACCAGTCATGTTTTGCCTTTTCCACTGTATAATTTACTGTTGCTGCTCTGCAAGCTGTTACATTCGTGCTTTTTGATTACCCGATTTTGTAATAAATAATATCCATACAATTTTGTGATGCCAGACTGGAGCATAATTTAAGCTCATGAAACTTTACAAATGCGCTGTAGTAATAACTGACAGATGTTCTTTAACCTGTAGCAAGATCACTCGTTCTGACATGGAACAAGAATTACAAGACATAGGAGGGTACTTCAGGCGAGTTGCCTCGGCCGCGTCTGAGTGGTGCATCGTCCTAACCGTTGAGAATACGCACGCCACTCCTCTGAATCCTATATGGGTTTGCAGGTTCAAACCCCACGGGGAAAATTATGTGCGAGAGGACTGCTGGGCTCCTGGCAGCCGGTGGTCGTATCGGTGACGGCTTCCTCCACTATCAAGTCCATGCATCTGGAACAAACAACTAGGACTAGAGGCACGTAGTTAGCCATATGATTGAACCGCCCTATGGGCTTTCCTTCTCCCGGGAATAAGTATGTAAATACTTACCAAAACTTTAAATGAGGTTCAAACATGAGATATAAATTCACCGCAAAGGCAAACTTTGTGAGAGAATATTAGTTAATAGTGAGTAAAATATTGCTAGTTCACCATAGATTTAGACAAAGCCTTCGTATTATAGACGATCGTTTCTATTTCTTGGGATAATTGGACAAAAATTAGCTATTTGGCCCGAAAATAAATTAAGTGTTGTGTTTTTCTGAACCACGTACGGTTATTCTCGAATGCTCTGCAACTTTTTCGCTGTCGTTGGTGAATCCTATTTAGGCGAAGATTTAATTTTTCCGGCCCAGGTAAATCAGACAGTGACAAATTGACTAAAGTTTCTCTCTGATACAGTCGGTAGTTCAATTTTTCGTATTCCGAAAATACAAAGGGTATATACATACAGAGTAAAATAAAAGAAAAATGTATTTCAGCGTGAAGCGAGACGCAATAACTCAGTAATGGTTATCGAGCAGTCTCACCTTTGAAGTAGTCTGACATTGAATCGTATTAAGAAAGAAAAAAGCCGAACATTATTTACTAACAAAAGTCTGCAGACCTACGACAGACCTTCTGCCTAGTGTGGCTCATGGCGCGGCGGTGTGGCTCATCGTGCAAGCGTTAGGAATACGCTCGCCACCGCACCTCTGATTACTCTGCGTGGGTTCGCAGGTTCGAATCCCATGTGGGAATGGTCGTGTGCGAGAGGATTGCTGGACTCCTCGCCGCTGTAGGGTGGTTCACGTAACTGCTGGTCGGTAACGGCTTCCTCCACCACCAAGTCCATGCTTCCGAAAACAAATACCTAACTAATCCCATACCCGACATGGAATGGTAACCGGACGAGAGGCCGTGGTTCGCCATATGGTTAAGCCGTCTTATCGCCTTTCCTTTCCCCAGGGATAAATATGTAAATCCTATCCTATCCTTCTTTCAAAATCATAGGGAAGTCTATCAATTCTCAATGTATTGACGATAACGATAGTGATATTTGAATGGTTGGTTTTCCACCATTAAGCTTTATATGTCTATTGAAGTTATTAAATTTGCCTCCCCGTTTTTGTCAATATTCAACTGCGCCGTAGTGGAGGGGGTATATGGCAGCTTGAATTACGATAATCCACAAAAATAATAGCACGGTAGCAGTATAATGATGCCGCGATCAAATGTTTGGCCAGGCTCACGAATCTATTGTCGCTATGACGCGATTGAATGGCCGGGTGTGTCCAATAGACAATAGGACTTTTTACGTGCCAATAGGACTTAATCTCACCCTGATGGTGTCCATAGAAACCTCCTTTGATTAAATTCGGAACCAACTTAGGTATATAGTACGAAACAACAGTGGAATCGAACCACACTGTGATTGCTCGCTTCTGATTCATTCGTTCGCACAAGAGACTTGAGTATGGCGGAAGCACAAACTATCGGAAGTAGCCATGGTCTGGATATGGAGAATCGTGATCCCGAAGACATTAATGGGCATGTCAAGGTCAGATTTTAAAAATTCCTTGAAAACGTTAACGAAAAATAAGCTTTGAGTTTAGGTAGAATCAGTTTTTTTTAAGGGAAAGAAATACAAAGCACTTTGCAAAATACCATTTCGTGCTGAACAATAGAAAGTATATATGTCACTCAAATGTGCTGAAGAAAAAAACACTTCACACTATTTTATTACAGAAAAATTGCACACACTAAACCACTTATTTTACCAATTCAGGTTTTCTAAAACCACAGCTAAATGTTACTGAGACACGTTCTTAAAAATTAAGTCGTATTGTGCTATATTGAACATGTTTACATTATAGCCTACTGTAATATTTTTTAATTATACGAAGTATAAAATATAAATCAACATAAGATTTTAAATTTGTCACAACCCAAGGTTTCAGCATAGGTTACAAAATTTTCGTCTAATCGAATCAATGCCAGCAGTCTTGGCATGCGTATGTCGTAATTTCTCCAGTGTTCAATATTTATTTATTTCAGGTCTTGTTCGAGGATGTTATTGCAGAGCCAGATGGAAGTCATAGTATCAAAGGAGTGTGGAGTTGCAGTTACAAAACATTCTGGGCAATGAAGAATTGTTGCTACATCTTTTTGTCGGTACTTTGCGGAGGACCTTGTGCTTGTATGTGGGGACTTGTGTTTGCTTGTCAGAGCTTCTACAATATCTGGTACGAATTCTCAGTTCTAAAGCATTCGTGGATTTTAAACGATTGTTATGATGACTCTAGTGCTATAATATATATATATATATTATCTATAATGTAGATTTTCTGTATTTTTTCTACACTAAATCATTTCAGTGATCGCTCCAATATTAGGATTAAGATTAGGATTTACATATTTATCCCGAGGGAGAGGAAATTCGATAAGACGGCTTATCTATATGGCGAACCACGGCCTCTCGTTCGGTTAGCATCCCAAGTCGGGTATGGGATTAGTTATATTGTTTGTTTTCGGAAGCATGGACTTGGTGGTGGAGGAAGCCGTAACCGACCAGCGGTTACGTGAGTCACCCAACGACAGCGAGGAGTCCAGCAATCCTCTTGCACATAACCATCTCTGCATGGGATTCGAACCTGCGAACCCACGCAGAGTAATTAGAGGTGCGGTGGCGAGCGTATTCCTAACGCTTAGCCCGTTGAGCCACACCGCCGCGCCATTTGTTGTTTTTGTCATTGTATACACTGCTTTCGAGGATTGACGGTGGTCCATGGCAGTACCTCGTTCATAATTTAATTTACCTGTATTTCATAAATCTATTAATCATTTTAGGTGCATCCGTCCTTGCTGTAAGTCTTACCAACTCAATTTCGAATGCTGCGCCAACTGCTGGAGAACCTATATCAGTTGTTACCTCGATCCTATCTACGATGCTGTTTCCAGAGTCTTCTCGAACATCAAATTTCACCATCGATACGAAGTCGTATAATTTTTGTGTGTCATACATTTTCCACTGTATTATATGTCTACCCAATCTTTACTACACTTTTTAACGCTTCGATATATTGTGTATACTTAATCTGAACACGAATGAATTAGATTTCTATAATATGGCTCATTTGCGTAAATCAGAAATTGAAATTCAATCTGTATTCTTCAACAATGGCGCTTTTGAAACTTTTTGACCTTGTAAGTATTCCGACGCTGGTGACGGCCAGTAACAAGGATTTCTTCAAGTTGTCATGTACACTTAATAAGATGAATTCGTTGCAACGCTTTCAATTGCATATTTTGAAAAGTGGTTTTCTTTTGTGTTGCAACAAATTTTCTTTTTCACGAATATAATATTTATACATTACATTTCAATATACAGAATATGAATATATATATATATTTGGTTTGTATTGAGCATTATTTGGTTGATGTCTGGGCGCCGCTTTGGGTCTTTTTTGAAAACTATATCACGCAGTAAGGGAAGAACAATCGCGGCTCGGAGGTGAAGCTCATTGTGCTGAGCGTCCGGAATACGCTCGCAATTCTACCTCCGATTTCCGGGTCTCATGTAGTTTCGTACCTAACATACTTCTAGTGGGCGTAGCATGACATTTTTTTCACGTATCAATCCTAACCCCCACCTGACTACACCATCCAAAAATTACGTCAACACGACGTCACAGTGCGATTTGGTATATGGCCGCACAAACACTTACGAAATAATTTTTGACACCAATATAGACAACATAAAATTATGTTAGCTAGGCTACTATTATTTTACCTCAATATAAGTTACTTTTGCCTTGAGTGTCGCTGCTCTTAACCAGCTTTGGTTTCCCGCGGCTTTGCTTCTCAAATAAAACTGGGCGATTATGTTTTTTCTCGAATGATGTATATTATTGATTTTTTTTTGGTGAAGAAAAAAACTTGACTTGATCTCCCAGACCCCTTACAACATTGTACTTTCCGAGCGCGCCACTGCTGACGCGGACAACCTTCTAATCAGAATATATGATTGTATTCATTTAATGGCAGACTTGTTAATATTACAATTCACAAGTAAACGGACCTTTTCTCTGGTGTTTTCGAATGCAGTTATTTTAAGACAAAGACCTAAGAACGACGTGTAAATAATTAATTCTCATCTTCATGAAGCGTCGGTTATGTGGAGTAAACATTAATTCTTTCTGTTTAATCGTCAATTTTCTCGGATGATAAACTTAAAAATATATTCCAATTTAAACTCGGGAATTTTTTTCATATTGTGATGCGATATGAGCTTCTGGTAAATAGGGAATCACATAATATGCTTACTAAGAAACCTCTAATTTCAGAGACCGACTTAATAGTCTTGAGTCGTTTATGAAAGCACGGTACAAAGTAGAAAATTACGAGATTTTAAAATATACAATATAGCAAAACCGATATTCATTTACTTATAAATAACATATTTTTATTTATTCAATTTGATTGATTGATCTGTCTGAGCGAACGACTAACATACCAATGAGGTGTCTGGGCGGCTGCAAAAATTGCCATTGTCACGTCATCGTTTATTTTTTGCTGAATGGTCCTTGTTCAGATAAAACAAGGAAATTGGTGTTCGGGGAAACATCCATTAAGCAGTCATTCCAGCTTTCCACGACCAGGAATATTTATGAAAAAAATTATTACCCAAAATGCATTCGGTCCGGGTTTTTGAAGCAAATAACTGTTTAAGAATAAAACAAGTGGATAATTATCCCAATGAGAATATACACAATAAGTAGAAACTTCGACGCATCAATGTTCAATGCATGAAATGTGCAACATGGGTGCAAAATGGAAGATTTTGTGATGGACGAAATTATGCTCTGCTCAAATATAGAGAAGACCGGATATACAAATGTTAAACCGTAAATATATACTACTACGGTTAAACTGCACGAACTGATATTAGAAAATTCACAATCAATTTTTACATTGGTGTGTTAACGTTTTAGTTGATTTTACTAGATATATGTTTGAGCATGGAACGGAAACATGCATTCGCACCTCCTGCTAGGATTTTTCGGACTGTTTGTTTACATGCCGCATCACACGCACAGCGGATATTTAATTCACTTTTTTGTTTTTGAAAAGATTGCACGCAACCTAATTACCAAGTGAAACGCCTGAGTAATGACTGCCGTCAATATTCATGTTTATTTGTTTGTGTTTGTGACTCGTTTCTTTCTTCTTTGGTAAGTGAACGCGTTTAATACGTTTTAAACCTATTTTATTAGGTTTTGTTCACTTTCCAGATTCTTCGCCTTAATCTTTTGTGTACATATGTTTATTTTGTTTTTGCGAATGAATCGAAATAAAATCTTATCTTATCTTATCAAATCCAGATGTCTTGTCTGCGACTTTGGAGTTCAGGCCGACAGTGTCGATGTTGAGCAGTGAGATTCATTTTATAATACATCATCCGTGTTTTATTCGCAGTTTCTTCCAAACGTATTTCAGACTGCGTCTTCTGCGAGTGTAGTGCGGATGCATGCGAATTATAAGGTTAATTAAAGTTATCGATATGCCTTGTTATGTGCTGCACTTTGTGGGATACGGTATCTGTCATTGATTGAAGGATTGTATTTGTGATTCGGGAGTAACGGCGGAGCATGCGATCAGAACTATATAGGCTATGGTAGCTGTACAGTGAGGGTCAGGAGGTACCATACTGAAACTATGGAAACGCGTAAAATTGGATTAGTACGGGCATATTAATTATAAATACAGTACCGCAGTGCCAGAGTGCGGTACTAAGTTAAATTTCATATTTTTCTGAAGGGGAAGTCGATAAGTCCGCTTAAATCAATTCTACAATTGGGAAACCAAAGCTGCCTCTTCAGGTTTATAGTTCAGATCTGTTATGTAATCCTATGATCCGTTAATCATTTCAAATGTTTTGAATTGACAGATTGATGTATTAAACTTAAATTGAGGATTTAAGTCCAGAAGTCTTGGAGTCCAATGCACAGGCAGACAGTCAGACATTAGTGGATACAGAACCTACCGTACAAAATTGATCAAATATTCGCAATCCTTCTGTTTATTCCTGTAACCTGGTATTCAGCTATTCTTGTAGTTGTGCATTAGTTCAGTAGTTACACTTCCACGTCTACTGATCTATGTGCATTTTGGTGGTCTTGTCTACTTATAGAATCAGGTAATGCTTATTCAGATAATATTATGCTAAGCCATGGATCAGATTACCAAAGCCTTAGCTACTCTCAAATTACTGTACATCAACCTGTTAACGAGGTAAACAAACAACATCAATAGTCTGGATAGTGCTGAGCTAACATAATTCCATGAATTATTTTATTAATTATCAATGAGAATAGGAGTATGTGTGTCAGTCAGAGCATCACATAACAGCATAAAGACATACCAAATCTAGAACAGTTTAATTTCATGATGTCTTTGGATTTGAAAAGTAGAGCACTCAGTTTGGTTTTTCAATTTTTGACGCTCTAACAAATTGCCCAAAAAAAAATACTTTTTTAATTCTAGAATCAAACTAAATGTTTATTACACAGTCTGAGGTTATAATCTAAATTCCATCTGTAAAAATTTTAGTACTACTTTAGTAGGATTTGACGTCAGCATGTTACATAACTCAGAAAATAAGAAAGCAAAAAGTAGATATAGCCTACTTGTTCGTTCTGTTGTTGGGACAATATTATCTGACTAGTCATATTTTAAAGATTCTTTCTCATTAATGAGTTGGAATAGTCCTTACATAGACAGATAGAGAAGGCCATATTTATGCAAAATATATACCGGTATACATGTGAATAAAAATAAGATTGTTTCAAACTATCAAACAATTAGGATCAATGAACTATTCTTGATAAATACAATCTTCAGATCTTAGTAGGGATGAAATATTGCATGACAAAATGGTTTACTAGTTAGATTTTGTTACCGAAGAATTTTTATAACCTATCTATTTACATCTTTCAATTCTTGATTATGTTGTAGTTAAAATATCTCAAAGTCAGGGCTTTGTTCAGAGGTTTCAACTTCGATATTAGAAATCAATTGGGGATGCTAATCAATGAAATTTACTTTTGAATGTAGGCCTACTTGATATTCCAATTCTGAAAAAATGTTTCTCGTTATTAGAATAGCATAAACTTGGTCATGTTTATTCCTGAATCAAACTAACGTTTTGTAGAATTCTTAAAATCTAAGATACAAAAGTACCAGTAAGGTGTAAAGGTTTTGAAATATTACTATTATGTCAAATGCAGGTTACAAATAGATTAACTTACCTACCTTATTTCTGATTATGTACATTTTTTGAATAGGCTCAAGTCTTTGGGAATATTTAAATTTGTAATTTAATTTAATTAATTAGATACTGATAAATATTTGTCGATTGCAGTGGCATACAAAGTTTTTGTTCATTATTTACTTCATCAGATTACTTTATCTTTAAATATCCAAATTATTTCTTTGCAGGCATTCTCATGACGAATAATACTATTTATAATAATGGTTCAATTACGCCAGTCACTGAGATTGCTGTGCGGTCTGCTTCTCTTATTTTTATCGCCCTTTTGTCTATTTTTGGAAATTCCTTAGTCTGCATAACATTGTACAGGTAAAAAAACTTGGATTCAAATTTAATTTTATTCTTGATATAGTAGTTGAAAATGATGAATTGAAAAAAAATTTTTTTTTTAAATTGGATACATCTGGAATAAATATTTGTGGAAGATCAGAGTCATTTGAAAGATTTTTGCTTAAAAAATGATTTCATTTTTTATTATATCAATTTAGGCTTGTAGTAGTTAGGCTTAGGTAGTGCTTAACTATGGGCTATGCATCAAAGGTTCAAGCTATCGAGTTTGAGCCCCATTGGATGAACAATGCCGAACCAAAATGGTTCTTGTCTGACTAATAATAGTGTTCTTATATGGAGCCATATTCAGAGAAAACATCTTAAGAACTTATAAAAAAAATGATTAACAAGATTCAAGTTTTTAAAATGATTCATATATTTGCACTTTTTATTTACTGTGATACAAAATATCTTTATTATCTCTTTGCAGGAGGCCGTATTTATTGACACCAAGCAACAAACTGGTCTTCAGTTTAACCACTGCGAATTTTGTATTTTCTATTCTCGTTCTTCCTTTCGTTATAAGTGGGAGTATAACAGAACAATGGTTCTTTGGAAAAGTTTGGTGTGCGATCACAGGCTTTCTCACTTTATTAGTTATGGGTGCAAGTATGCTGATTCTGGCAGCTATAGCTTGTGACAGGTATGGTATATTTATTTTGCAATAATCGAGCTGTAATTTGGCATGATATTGAATGAATTTTTTATTTGAAATGAAAAAAATATAATATGAGCCTTGCCCCACTATCAATCATATTACATTGATATATAAGCTACCTATTTTAATTTTTTTACGTCATTTAATGTGGAACCGTAAAGAAACTTGGAAAGGGGCTTTACCCACCATATACTGGTACCTTCATCCGTAGCCTTCTCCAGGTTCCTCATCAGTTTCACACTAGATGACATGAAAAATGTGTCAAAACCTAACTCGGTATATATGAGTATAATGCCTATTAATAGTGAAATACAATTCATGTCATTCAATGATTCAATGTGTGGATCATGAAGATACAGAGTTCTTCGGCACTCGGAATATGGAAAACAAAAAATTATGAAATTGTATCTTATTAATCATATACAGTTATTTTAAAAACATATTTTTATTATTTCCCAGAATTTATCGTTGGTGCCTAACTGAGGTGTGCCATTATATATCCTCTCCTCCGCAACGCTACAGCAATGTCTGAGTCGCCAAAATTCATTTTAGTATACAATTATATCTGTATTGTTATTGTACCCAATTTCAGGTATTATGCCATTGTTCATCCTATGTTGTATCCAAGCATTATTACGGGATTTCGATCGACAGTCATAATTATTGTTTGTTGGGTATTTGCTGCAATATGTGCTACACCTCCATTGTTTGGTGCTTGGTCAAGATATCAATTCCAGCCTAAGAGATGTGGTTGTCTACCTGTATGGCAGGAAGAATTGGGATTTGCTATTTTTTGGGTGAGAAAAATTTGTTTGTTCGCATTTCCTGTTATTCAAAAAAAATTTTTGATTGATGTCTTTCTAAAAATCTGAATTATTCTACAAAACCTTGTTCTGATGAATGAATAAAAATATATTTTCATAATTATTTAGTTTTCATGTTTCCTATTGTTGTAAATTATATTTCAGTTTGCGTTGTGCTTTTTTGCACCATATTTGCTGATGATCTGTTGTTATGGATTTATATTCAAAATAGCAAGAACTAAAACAAGACAAGTACATTCGAGAGTTGATAGTCCGTCTAGATTTGCTGGGTAAGTCTAGTATTACTGTAAGTCAATTTTATTAAACAATATTATTCGTTTTTATTAATGTTTGTTCACCTTGATTCAATCTTCATTTAGACCAAATGATGACACAAGTTCAAATTCATCTTCTGACAGTGGGTCTTATACTGAATTTTCTGATTCTTTCCCAACAACCAGGGTTATTGGGGCCAATTCAAGCTCAACAACGCAACAAGGTTTGTATTTTGACGGTTCATTGAAGCAAAACTCCATACAAGGCTCTGTACAAGCAGCTGCCTCTATATGATGGCTAGTATATTTTGAAAGCATAAAAATTTCTTCTGTTCTCCATTGCCTACCAAATTTGTTCCCCCCTGATGAGGTGGTGAGCTTGGGATTTGAACCCAAGATTTTTGATGCCAACATAGCGAAGTCCATTGCTTTAACCACTCGGCCATATGCCAACACGATAATTATCAAATTTACTTCTAATATATTTCACTGTAATATATCTACCGATGGATATACATATCTATTTAGTAAGTGATCTTTCTACTTTTCAGCGAGGGCTCTTTCTTTAATAAACCTAAATCACAAAAATTTCAGAATGAACGCATGGATTATTGTATCAGCCAACTAAGAATATCAATACTTTTTTTCCATCAGCTCCCAACGGTAAAATTCACACCAAGTCAGATTTGAATGATAATGCTGCAACCACTCTCGATGAGGACTCTGGTATCAATGTGAGTGAAACTGTGACTCCTCCCTCGACATTGAACAATGGTCATCATCACCACATACATCATGGAAGAGAGAATGGCAGAAAGAGTTACCTGGAAAATGGGAGGACGTATCTTCCAAATCAGGTATTTGCTTTTCATCCATCTTGTATTTCTGATTCGTGGTTTAATTGTTAGAAAGGTGCTGTTAAAGTATGCTCATTCTGAAAAATGTATTTCACTAACTTTTTGCCCAGCAATGATGTAAATTCATTCACAGCTAAATCAAGATTCGTCTAATGCCAGTTGAAAATTCTTGTATTATAGTAACAAAAAAATACATTTGCTATTAAACTGTACAAAAACCACGGTGCGACTTGCGCATAACACTAACTTAGGATCCATTCAAGATTGAGTAAACGAAGCACTTTTTATGCATAGTTAGTGAGGGAGAAACGAGAATATCGGTCAGAGACCGAAGACTTATCGATCGAAAGTTAGGGGATCCCCCAAAACAGCGCTCTTACTCCATAGTGTCACCTTGTGTCCCATCACCAATTAATTTTTAACTCGCTAATTATACGACATAATTCATCCAAAATCAATAGGCTTCTGGTCCAACATATGATGAATGCACATGCAAAATCTAGAGCAGATTTAATCTCGCTTTCATGAGATATCGCGTGCATCTAACAGACAGACATACAGACAAATACCTATCAACATACTTACCGATTAAAATGGATAAGTAATAAGGAAGTCAGCAAAAAAGTTAACTACTGGTCTATATGAATTGGAATCTATGTATACTGCAGATAAATTAGCTTATATTATGCAATTTGCTATTCTGAAAATATACTGATAAAATAGTAAGTCCCAACGTGGAATGTTAGTACTTGAAACCAGCTTGGAGCAATAAATTTTTGGTAAAATTCTAATCATTTTTAAATTATGAATCATAGAATGGAATATGATTAACTTATTAAAATATCCAATTCGTTACGGAAATCCCCAATAACTTGCTACGGTAATCATCCTCCTAATGATCTCTTTTTAACACCTTTCACAATGAATTACAACATACACATGATATTATTACCAGATATAGTAATTATCATCACATTAAAAAGTAATTATGTTTGTTGAACTTTTAATCTTTCTCTCAATCTAATTGAACACCCATACTATGATGTTATATCATCAAAGTTATTAATCACCTTAAAAACGTGATACTATATTAAGCTCTAAGCTTGGCTCAACAATCATTATCACTCGAGGAATTTCTAGGACATTTTAACCTCTATGTATGTTTTGTTAGGTGCTATTGTCAAGAAATTGCAATCTTGTCAAGTTTGTCTTATGAGGATAAATGTTGTAGCGTCTTGTCAGTTTTCATGTTGTTTTAAATATTTAGGAATCGATTTCTGCGATTCAACAAAATACACCACAAAAATGATTTCTTGCTATCAGGATGAACATAAAAGTTTTACCATAAATATATACCATTTGTAAATTAAAAAGTTTTTAAATACCTTTTTCCAAATATGTTTATTAATTGTGTGTAAAGCTTTTATCCGACGAGATTAAGTAGTTTTGTAAATATGAACTATACAACTATTATATATCTTTATCTTATCGCTTTTAAATTTGAAATTTTGTAATTTGTAACAAATGGTGCGTGTCTACTATGAAAGAAATTACCATATAAAATTAGATACTGTTGCAGTGTGTAAAGTTATATAGCTACACTCATACTGAAATATTACCATATCAATTTCAATGTAAGTCTCCTTTTTTAAACTGTTTGCTCCAGAAGTGTGTGTACCAATATGGATGTAACTAATTTTGTTCGCTTACTTTACATCAAGTTGTGTGAAGGGACTGAAGCCTATGGGCAGGAGGTATATTCACTTGGCTAACACAGATGGTCCCCAAACTCGTAATAGAACTAAAATAGGGAAATTCGGAATAAAATTATGGCCCAACCCTAACCTGGTACACACACTACGGGAGTACCGAATAATCAATAAATCAGTGTTAAAAATTGGTTTTGTTATTTCCACTTCCCTCTGCTATTACTCCAATTTCTATTTTGGCAATAAATAAACTCAAGATTATCCTCTAGCTAAAAATAGCGTCAAGTGTTTCATAGGCCAATTTTAGTAAATTCATTGTTTTTGATGACAATTCTAATTTGAATAATAACAGTTCAGTTTTACTTATCAGTGATAATATAATTATTTTGTTCAATTTGATTTGTGTTGTATAATACGAGGTTGGGACTCTTTTAGTCCTACTAGTATAAATACACAACACTGTAAATTTTTAAGGACGCCCTTTCCTAGCCAATTCAATTTATATAATTTAAGTGCGAATTCTAATCTCCAAATATATAGTATGTTGTCCATATCGTTATTCATAACAGTAAATATTCAAATATGTAAGGTTCATTGGCGCCAAATCTTGAACCACAACAGTTATATTTAGCACCAAGATAAGCAATTTAAGTGCTTCTGTCAATTTGATAAACACTTCTTAGTGTGTTATCTATTGTTACTAATTGGGAAACAACACAGGTCGTGTTCAAAACAAGTTCAATATATCTTGTAGATCGAGCTAATGTTGGTGTGAATTCTTATTAAATAATTAAATAAATAGCTTCTTCCTTTCTAATTTGGAAACTTAATGAAGCACCAAAAGTTTTATCCACAAAAAAAAACCAAATAAATCATATGTTTAATATATATTGACAACTAACTTCTTAACAAAATTTATATTGCAACGGGATTGTATAAAAATCTAATATATTGTTATCAAGCGTGGCCAAAACTAATAATCAACTTTTTTGAATGTACCTATTTTGAAATAATATGGAATATGAAATACATGGTAAATTTGGTCACTTCAACAATGGGCGCATAGAATTGAATATATATTAATAAATGAGTTTCAATTCGGGAATACAGGAAAGTTGGATTTAACCGTTATTACTTCTTAAATTTTTTTCTATATTTTATAACATTTATTCAGGGTCTTGTTATGCCAATAAACATAGTCATTTTCTGATAAATAATCTTTGTTGATCCCAAAACATTTTACTATTATATAGCTATTTATAATTTTTTTTCTATCTTAATGCTGTTTCTACTATCAATATTATCCATAGAATATCTAATTCGGGTTCATTCAATTGAATAAAGAATACAGTTATTACCTAATACCTAAAAAACAATTTCTTAAAATAGCATCCGCCATACTATTTTAAACATATGCTTGTAATTTGATTACATATGCAACATACTAAATTTACCTTGCTGGACACGATAAGGACATATGGATATTTTTTCATATTATGGTATTGTTGTTCATCTTGTTAGTATTCTTTTCCTTGTTTTTATGAAAAAATTACTTTTCTGATTAACTACTCAGCCAATTGCCTTGAAATTTTCAGCGGTTGAAGATTGTATTTTTCGCTAGAATGCTTAGTATTACTTTTGAGTTTTATTTTATTTATTTCAAAAATTTCTGTGGGCTCTTTAGGATTCATTTTTTGTGTGCGATGCGGTCATCAAAATTAAAAATTGCGCACTTTGTGGCAGTTCCGCGTTCATGTTAGTTACAATCTGGCAGTACCGACAGTACCGTACATTTTTGTTTTGGCCTTCGTGTAAAATCGTTTGAGCATTGTTCCCTTGTAATTTGAATAAAAAGATTTATTTTTATTTTTCAATTGTGACACACGCAAATTAGTGTTCCATTTCTTGGTAAAATCAAAGTTTTAATGCGCAACGAAAGCCAGTGGAAATCAAATCTAGTTCTGGAGAAACGACACCCAAATTTCAAACACTTATTTGGAAGGGCTTGAATTAAAAATTATACTATATATAAAGGCCTTGGGTGTCTTTATTCCTGATATCGTTTTTCAAGTATTCTAGAATGTTTTCAATAAGGGGTTTAAATGACAAGTTAATCATCAAAATGTTGTAACTGCTCATTTTTACCCAAAAATTTAGCATAACTCCTGAATTTTCACATTACTGGAAAATTTCAGATTTAATGTATTCTCAGATAACCCTTTCTGATACAATCAAATTTAATTATTAATTACATTTTTTACCTAAAATTCTTTAGATTAATATATGTAGAATCTTGTTAGACCTGTTGACTGTTGCCCAATTTAGTTTTTCATTGAACTTTACGCGAATAACCTATCCATCATTCATCACATGTAATTATTTTGTCATGTATTTAGTTTTAACATGTTGTAACATTTTCATCCGAGAAAAAACAAACAAATTACTAATAACGATGATACTAATAAAAGCAATTTTAATTAAAATAATCATTCTCACCTCTGCCATTCGAAGTACTTGTACATAAGTTTGTATAAATAAGTTTACGATAAAAGTAATTTTTTGTTTTTTTTTCTTATACAACCACCATGCAATTATACATTTAATTATTGCTTTCGGGCCATTACTCATGCCTTGTTAATATTCGACCTTGTTTAAAAGCTAAAAACGTGCTTGTTATTTTTGGGCTGAGTTATTTTTGGATCATTACCACAAGGGAGAAAGATGTTATTTACCTAAAATAATCACTACTACCACCTTATCATTTATTGTTGGGAAACTTAATCATCAGCCTTTCAACTGATACTAAGGTTGAAATAGGTTTGCTTGGGTTTATGAATAATCATTATTGGAATGTGCTTATCAATGTAGATACTAAATGAAAGACCGCATTCCATTTTAAGTATCTGATATGACCTGACATTTTATATGCAGTTACAAAAGGGAAAGCTCCCATAGTGTCAAATGAATGATTTATTTATTTTGAATCACATACAATAAAGGAATGTTTTGAACTTGATTTACCTTGGTTTTCACTGAATTTGATGACTTTTTTATCCACACCATGCATTGTCATTATTTTGTGTAGAATATTTGATTAGTTTAATTTATTTTATTTTAAATATGAATCCACCTGTGGCAAGGATGTCTAAAACAGATTGAATACTCAAAATATTACAAAATGGGTACCCGTATATTCAACATGTTAATTTTTTTTTTATTTTAGAAATAATTTAGACTATTTTCGTTTGAAAATTTGTTATCTTAATTAGGCATGAATTGATGGTCGGACAT